TGAGATGCTGATGCAAGATTACTGAATAACCAAGTAACTATACCTATGTAACTAACTACCAATTTAACTAAATAACTAGCTAACTAACAATCTGAAAAACTAACTAACCGTTTAACGATAAGTTTTTGATCTTCACAGTCTGGAGAATTGACAATCATTTCCTCTAGAAACTGCAGAACGGTAAAATCGAATCCCTCTGTCTGAAAAAAAATTTATTATGCTGATCACTGAAGAGTAAAAAAACTTATATATGTGTTAAAAAATCGTAGTAAGGTTGAAAAATATTAAAATTTTCCAAACCGAATGCAAAAAAATCTGCAAAATGAGATAGGAAAATGTTGATTTTATTTTATCGCAAAATTTAAAAAAAATCTATTGAGAAATGAATCAGATACATCTATATATAAATTTGGCTTGTCTGTCTGTTTGTATCCAATAAACGTCAAAACGGCTGAACCGATCGGGCCCAAATTTTTTGTGGGACATCTAGGGACTCCAGGGAAGGTTTATGAATCATCAAAATTTCAAATATTTGTCTCCATCAAAATTCGATCGTCATTAAATTTTTTAAAATTTTGAAAATCCGCGAATTATTTTTGTTTTGTTTTACGATGTACACAAAGAGAACATGTTCACAATTAATTTAGGAGATGGGCGCGAAGCGCCCTCTAAGGCTAGAAAGAAGGGCGCGAAGCGCCTTGAATTTCTAGTAACATAAAAATCCGCAATTAACTGTTAAATGAAAATCTGAAAAAATCCTACGAAATAAGACATTAAAAAAATTATTTAAATTTATTTTTCGCGTTTTGTAATACATTTTTAGATGGATTCTATACTATTGTGTAAAACACTGCAAATCATGCGGTATTTATAAGAAAAGGGATCAGCTGTAAGAAAAGGGATCAGCTGTAAGAAAAGGGACCAGCTGTAAGAAAAGGGACAGCTCTAAGAAAAGGGACAGCTGTAAGAAAAGGGACAGCTGTAAGAAAAGGGACAGCTGTAAGAAAAGGGATCAGCTGTAAGAAAAGGGATCAGCTGTAAGAAAAGGGACAGCTGTAAGAAAAGGGACAGCTGTAAGAAAAGGGACAGCTGTAAAAATTTCAATAATCTAAACCAATGAATATTTGTGCGGTGTTTTTTCAAAAAACATTTTAACAATTAATTAATAGTAGTTCTATTTAGGTTTTTTCATCTTTAAAAGGTTTAGATTCAGCTCTGTGTATCTGTATGTAAGAAATTAGTTTGATTAACCAAAATCTTGAACGTTTGATATCGGTATCCAATGTGGACACTTTTTAATTGTGAGTAAACACAAAAGTTCTAACTTCAGCTCACCTCAAAGTCGTCAGGTCCAAACCATATTTCAGAACCCTCGCCAAGAGTTAAGTTCAGTAAAAACAAACAAACTAGTTTTATCTTGAAATCCATTTTATCTTCTTAAATTAGATGTTTACAAGATTAGTTAAGTCTTTGTTCAGCGGATATTATCACTTGAAGGTTTTTATTAAACTGTGCGGAATTGTAAATTTTATATTTTAGCGGAATAAATATATTTTAAACAGGGTTACATATATGTAAAGGATGAGACTTTGCAGAGACGACTGTAGAGAATATTTATATTTCACTATATTTCTGATTCCATGCCACCGTAATCATTGAATAAGCCAGATAAAGAAGACTCAATTCATCTTTGGAATCGTCAGATTTAAATAGTTTCAGGTCGTCTTTATGGTCTCATTTTTGGGGTAACCCTGTATGTCACATAGATTCAGCCTGCTTATAAACAGTCTCATCAATTTTTAAGACAGGGTTGACTTTGAAGTGTCGCAACGCCCTAAGCTTAGATTTTACCGCTCTAACTCACTAATGCTTTTCTGTAGCACTTTACATGTAAATTTTAGCACTATAAAGCACTTGTTGTTAGCTTTGGTTTTTTAGAAGTAATTGACAAAATTCTCAACAATTCAAGCTTAAGAGCGTGAGACCATTAAATCGCAGTGATGTATGTACATAATATATATCTGGATATATAGGGCTACCCACAATAAATGAGACTTCAGAAACGACTGTACGGAATTTAGTCGATCCTATTTCATTATAATCATACATACATTCATGGTTTTTAAACGAATTGAGGCTTTGCCACAAACTCAAATTTTCTAATCCCTTGTAAACCTTTCATAATTTAAACTTTGATTATTCATTCATGAATTCATATTTTGAAATATTCATTATCTAAGGTAACAACGTTTATTATTAAAGACACACAAATTCAATCTTCGGTCGTAAACTATAAAGTTTCATTCTTTGGAATTTTTTTCGGATTATTTGAATTTCAAAATACTATTAAGGCCTATGTAACTGCTTTAAAAAGTGAATTAGTTTTATTTTTTTTCACTAAAAATCTGAAGTAGGTTGGTGCTTAAATAGGTATGAGAAGAAAGGCCATCTTTCTAAAATTGAGTAGTGTATTTGATTTTTTTAAAACAAATAGTTTTATTAATTAACTTATCAAGTTGATTGGGTCTGTTTACACTGCACAACTGTCGTGTCTCATGTTCATTGGATATTTCAAAGTAGCTTGCTAATTTTCCAGAATTTTCTGGTTCTCATTGTATAAATTTAAATGGATATGAACTCCAATGAAAAGCAGTTTTGAATATAAATTGTAGAGTGTATACTAGACACTATAGACAGTTTATAATAGACTAATAATTCAAGAGAATTTTAGAAAATGTTTCAAATTCTGCATATCATCTTTTCCTGGGTATCACCTCTACATGTCCGGAACATACAGGGTTAACCAGCGCACTTCTATCGGTCAGATTTGAAGTATATTAAAGAGAAACAAACAAATGAATAATCAGTTCTAATCTGACCTCAGAGGTGCAAACATGAAATATTTACTTCTCTCCGTTCTGGTCAACTTTGTCAGCTGTCAACAGCTGCAGGTTCCTCTCTTTGTTCTAAACGAGGTCGTCTTCCTAGATTCTGAGACCCCGACCCCAAACTACGACATCATTGCGGCAAATTTTGCGCAACAATTCCAGGAAAAAAAAGCGAATTCTTTTTTCCAGTTAAAATATCAAATTCCGATATTCTGCGGACTGGTTGTCATCTTCTGCGTGATGTTGATAACGTACTGCAAACTGTATTGTCGAAGGGCGAATGAGAAGATTGATAAAAATATGGATGTTTTTTCTGTTCCTCTGTCCAACCCGGGATTCCAGGGATCGGACGAAAATGTCAACTCCGTAAAATCGTTCAGAAAATCATCTCAACAATTATCAACCATCGTCATTGAAAGCGAAAAATCAACGAGCAAAAGTCTATCAAGTAATCCTAAGACGTCAAGTCTACCAAAGTATCTTGAACAAAGTTCTAGAAATAACACAGAAAACACCTTTACACCATTACATATTAGTAATTCTTTGTATATTTAGTTTAGATTAATTATCATTTCTCATATTCTTTGTAGTCCATCATGTTATATATCAAATATATATTTGTTAAACAATAAGTACTTTTAAAACAAGTTTGTTATTTTGATGGCTAGATTGACCACAATTTAGACATATTTCTACTTTTTAATTACACACACACAATCTTAGAAGTGCTCATATGAGTGTCATATACTGCTTGAAAAAATGATGGCTAACACGGCATTTCTAGAAACGGGAGTTATTTCTGTTTCTAATTAAATACTACAACAAACAGGGTTACCTACAAAGGTACTAAACGGAATCTATAGTTTCCTTCTAGACATAAATTTAGCATGTCTGTTTATATCCAATGAACGTCAAAACGGCTAAAGCGATCAGGCCAAAATTTTGTGTGGGGCCTCACATGGCACCAGGGAGGGGTTTGAATGATAAAAATTTTAAATATTTGTCTCCATCAAAATTCCACGAAATGTTTTGTCAAACTCCGCGACTTTTTTGTTTTGTTTAACGATGTACACAATTCCAAAAGTCTAGTAAATTCATGATTTTCTGCAACTATTAACTTTTTCATTCTTCGCCTTCTGTACTAAAGTGAAACCCATAATAACGAATACATCGGAAGAATCTATCAAATGTCGTCCTCACAATTTTTCAATGAGTTTTATACTATATTACGTAAATTTCCGCATTTGCGGCCATGAATATGCGGGAATAGTTTTTAAGAGCTCCATATAATCATTTAATTAAAAAACTAAATATTTGCAACATTCCATTATCAGAAAGTGAAGAATACGACATTTGATGAATTCTTTCGATGTATTCGTTATTATGGGTTTCACTGTATCTAAATAATATTTTTAAATGAGATGCTGATGCAAGATTACCAGTTACAAAGTCTATCAGAACCATCATCAGCAACTCCAAGTCTTCAAAGACATCCTCATTATAACTCTACATGGGTTCCTGAGGATTATTCAACAATAAACAATAAAAAGCAGAATACTTAATTTCGATACAAAATACGACTCCCTAGCTCCTCTTTCATAAATTCTGCAATTTTATGTGAGTAACGAAAAAACATTAAAAACATCATAATCTAATAATTTATTATTATTTAAAAATAAGGTTGGTTAGCGGTATTAAGCATGAATTTATAGTCATTGATTAAACAAAGAAACAAATGCTGTCAAAAAAGATTTGAATTATTCAAGGACTAAGATGTATATGCGACTTGAATAATACATATCAGCTAGGTTAGAAATTAAAATAATGTTTAGGAATCGAAAAATATCAAAGTTTTGATTAAATTATGTTAATATTATGTTGGCTAGTGCAGCGATTAAACTTTACATACAGCTTAATTTTAGAGACAGTAAAATGTTTAAAAAAGAATCCTGAAAACAAACAAAAACATGTTAATATTAAACAAGAACTACCAGAGTAAATTTCAAATCTGTAAACTCCATAGTGTACATCACTACCGCATGAATAAACTTAACTGTATAATCACTGTATGCATTTTACATCACTAGAAATGCATAGAATTTATGGCATCAAGTCCTGCATTGGATCAATCATGTTCAAGCAAATGCTCATTTGCGACAATGCCGCAACTTCTTTTTTTTCTAGATAATCTGCCGTTAATGAGCAGAGAAAATCCACAAAATAAAGATGGCGGCACATTTTCCTGTGTTTTTATTCTGTCAAATATTCCTGGACAGGGGACCTGAAATATAAGTTAATTTTACATTTTTCATCTAAAAAAAACCCAACTTTTTATAACAATGTTATTTGGTTCGCAGTGTTTTAACATTTTTTAAGGGAAATTTTCTCTTTGATGTGAAATTTCAGGCAAGCTTTTTTTTTTTTTTTTAAATTATTTTCTGACAAAATATTAGTTTCTTGATGAGTAGGGTATTCAGGGTATAGTACAGGACGGTCGAAAGGACGTTATGTGTTAAATCTTTTTAAAAAATAGCATATAACTTTCTAACATTTTAGAAAAAATGAAAAATGCAAATAAAAACCAGTGTCACGTGTTTTTTAAACAATTAGATTTTTTTTAAAACACTTTTACAATTTACTTTCAGTCATTTTTTAAATCTTCCAAAACATAAGTTATCGGTCTAATTTTAATTCTAATGAGCGGGCCTTGAAAAATTCTGATATTAACAAACATGATTTGCAACTTCATACCTTTACTCTAAGACATTTTTTATGAGTGATAAGACACGATGATTACTTTTCAGCAAAGCGATTAAATAAGTAGCATTAATTGGGCATGTAGTAATCTCTATTTGTTTGTTTGTATTTCCGATCATAGTTAATAAACCCGTTTACCGAGTTGCCTTAAATTTTTGATTGGGGAACCAGTTCTTCTAGGTTCAGTGTAGAGAAACTAAACTCCCAAGCTAGGGAGCAGGTTCTTTTTATCAAATCAGAAAAAAGAATTTCTATAGATATATTCTAACCTAGGTCAGGAGGGAGTAAGCCTAGGACTTGTCTGGGTAGACTGAGCCTGGGCCCGCTTGATGTACAAGGAGAGTAACTTCATCTTGCTTCCGTTCAGGCAGTCCAGGTGGGGCTACGGAATTGAAAATATTAATCTAACATATTATTATTGTAAAAAATATCGTATTAAACCCCATATTTATAAACCTGAACACAACTATACATCTTACGTTGTACATTACCTGTAACCTAACTACTCTTGTTAATAACTACGTAAAACCTATCGGTCCTTACCATTACATGCATTACAATTTGGATTAATTACGTTAATTAATTTAACCAGTACAATAAAACTCAAAATATACATTAGTTGCAATAAGACTCAGCTTGATTACGGTAATAAGAGTAATCCATCCTGGTGTAGCGAACGATAGGGACCTGAGTTGTATCTGGATTAATAGATATAGACTAGGAAATACAGAAAGGAATGTACATACTAAACTAAGGTATTACATCAAGTGCTAGAGCCATCAAGTTATATCAAGTTATATCAAGTTATATCTTGAAAGATAGATACCAAAGAATACATATAGCGTCGTATCTGGATTGATACAGACGGAAGTATTATTGATCGGACAAGCAAGTTCGAGAGCGAGTTGTATCTGTACGATACCCATTGAAGAATATATATAGCGTCGTATCTAGATTGAAACAGACTTAAATATTATTGTAGAACATTGAGTTCTAGAGCGAGTTGTATCTGCACAACAGATTCTGACGGATACAGAGCTTGTATCTGGACTAATACTTATGGGAGTAAGGCATTTACTTGATTATCATTGAATGAATAAATCAATGATAGGATGAGTTAAACAATAAATAGGCGAATATATCAATAAAGAAACAAACAAAAGAATGAATGAATAAATGAATCAATTTTAAAAATAAATGACTGAAAGAATGAATGAATAAAGGAATCAATTTAAAAATGAATGAATGAGTGAATGAGTGAATGAATACCTGTAATGAATCCTCTCCTACTAACTGATGTAAAGCAACAATACAGAAAACTGCAGCTTTACGCACACTTGATTCAACATTATCATACGCCTATACAATATATCAGATACATTTCAAATATTAACCTTTACAACATGAAAATCGTTATCTTTTCTACAACATTATCGACATAGACATCGACATCAAGTTCATCTACAAAAATATACTTCTGCGCTAAAAACGCAAATTTTTAGATATTACTTTTGACAAAAATTAAATCTGTAAAAAAAACTCTCAGGTATTGGTAAAAAAATGCATATTTTTAAGTTTTGATTTTTTGATTAGACAAATGTTATAAGGTTACCCTTCTGAATTGGACAAACCACTCTTTATATGGAAAGAAACTTCAAATTACTTAACACATTCCTTTCAAACAAATAACTTGAATTACTAGTTTAATTACAATTACCTTGAGAAGTCCTGGCATGACATCAGATAGATGCTGGCAAATACTTTCAGGAGTTTGCTTCTCTACTAGCTTTGTTAACATCTTTATGGCAGCCTAGGTTAATAAACATTTTTATTATTTTCTAACTAACCAAAATATAACGGTGACTAAACTACTACAGGATATATATTTTTTTTAATTTTCTAAAATATAATTCTTTCTCAGGTTAACTGACTAACTGCACTGCTAATTACCTGATTGACCGGAAAGTCTCCAGTTTTAATAATTGGATTAAGAACTCTAACGACCATCTCTGGTGGAAGGACTCCGGCCATTGTAGCAGCACAGCTTTCAGCTGCTCGCACAACCTTCAAGAAAACATCACAATCAAGTTCTTGAAGTAAATTATTAAATATTGTATTACAGTGGTAACCATAAAACTGTGAAAAAACACAGCAATTGTGCATTGTAAAATACATACATTTGGTATCGGATATATGATACATTTTATCTTTAAGAAATATACAGATTTTTCATTACAAATATTTACATTAACAACTGTTCAACAAATTTTATGTTTATGTACACTAAGACGCTAGTATCAGCAGCAAAACACATGGAGTTAAAGAACTAAAATACATAATTCGTAGTATTATTATTACACGTATTTAGGCATTTTGCAGTACAATATTTTTATTTTATTTATTGGTTTGATGAAAAACAACGAATTACTTACAGTACTGTACTTTAACTGTGAAAGCTGTAAAAGCTGTGAACAATCTACAGATAATCTGTGATGAACAAGATGAACGGCGTGTGTAAAAAAGGTTAAAAAGCATCAGCAGAAGTTTTGAATTCTGTTTACTGATTTTATCTTGGAATATTTAGCAAGGAATTAAAATAATGATTCACGGGGTTGACAGATCAGACACGAGAGTACAAAATTAGTTCTTGCAACCTCTCTCATTAACTATATTGGGTTAAATGGACGTAATATCAAGTGGCACTCCATTTAGTATATTGCATGCCCAGATCACAACGGTACAACAACTATTAATCTTTATCTGAGAAAAAAAGTAAGATATTATCATTTTTATTTCTTGAAGAAATTAAATTTTCCCTTTTTTAAAAATATTACAGAAAGGAAAAAAATCTATTTTCAGATGAAAAGCAAGCGTGTCCCCACTTTCGCCAGACAAATGTTTTAGAGTACTGTTGTGAATCGGGCAAGGCCTGTCACTTGGAAACATGACACCAGTCCCTTCATGAGTGTAAATAGTTTGCGGACTATCTGGGTAAATTATGCTATTTTCTAACAAAGCAACTTCAACAGATTTACAAATGAAGACATTTAAATTAATTCTTTTGAAATGTCTTCATAATTGTGTAAGGTTGTGCTCTAACCTTTATCCAGACTGTGAACTTAATTAAGAATCAAGTTAATGAAAATTGTTACAATTCAATAAATAAGTTAATGTGTGGGGAGGGGGGGGGGGACTTACATCTTTTTCGGAGTCCTTGTGCGCTTGCAGAACCTGTAGAAAACCAATATTGATATTTTATGATATTTGAAACTTAAACTCTAGTTCTCAATAAAATATGGATCTTTAGTAGTCTCAAGTTTATCACTTAATCCAATTTCAGGTCGACATATAAGTCTCATCTGTTTCGTGTAACTTTATGATTATAGAAAATGCAATAAAATATGATTTAAAAAATATGATTGTGAATAATCTAATATTTTCCTTGAGAATGACCAGCTCTGTAAAGCCCTGGAACCCAGACTGCAAACTCTCCTAAAAATAAATGAATCAGAGGTATTCATAAATATGTTATTAAAAAATTCAGTTCAAATCAGGGATCAAGGATCAAGAAACCGCGGATTAGGGATTAGGGATCAAGGACCGGGAGCCTAAGAACATTCTTAGAATTCCTTTCCTTCAATATTTCTGCAGCATCAATCCGATTGTCACTAATATTGAGAAAACCACAATTGAAAATAATCAGATCAGTTCAGTCAAAAAATAGTTCTTGATGGTTTACAGGATACCGTTGTGAATCGGACATGATAATTTATAAATGTCACTTCAATCAATTATATTTTCTTAAATAAAACAAACCCCGTTATCCAAGAATATGTTTGACTGATCTTTTTAAAATTTAATGTTTATCGCAAAATTTCATTTTTATCGCAGTATCTAAACTTTTGAGAAAAGACCAAAATTACGTGTCTTCGATCTTGCAAAGTTAGGTTGCCTTAAAAAAAAAAAAAAAAAAAGTTCAAACCTGCTTTAGCATTTCTGTGAGTACACCGAACACAAGAGCTCTTGTATTCCCATCCTCATCCTCTAGGTTCTCCAGTAGTACACGAAGTACAGACCTACAAAAAACCAAGTACTAAGGAAATATACTTTTTTACCCCCCCACCCCCCGTTACCGTCGTGATAAGAATGCTTGCGTGGCGTGTATAACTTTTTTTAATTACAAGAAATGTTCTATAAAAAAATCAAAAAGATTACCATTTGAGGTTAAACTTTTCATTCTATCAAACTTGGTTTTAAATTGATCTAGTACCTGAATTGATCTAATAAGTAAATTGATCTAGTACCTGAATTGATCTAAAAGAGCTGGATTTGATCCATTCCTCGCAATCTTAATCAACTGAGTCATACAGGCTCTTCTCTCAACACCCTGGGATTCAAATATTAAAATCTTCACAGCGTGTAATCAAGTACGTAAGTCAGTAATTATTTATTTATGAAATAAAACAAAAAATAAGTATTGAAAATACCATTGCATCCAACTTAAATCAATGAGTTTATATTTCAAAACAGAAAAAATATTATATACATATAAAATATATGTATATAACATTGCCAATAAAATTCAACTTAAAATCTAATAATCGATGAAAAGGAAATTGATTGAGAATTGAGATGGTTTTAATTAAATATGAGATAGAGGGGGGGGGGTAAAAAAAATAAATACAAAAGTTAAGGAACAAAAATTTTAACTAAACACAAAGAACTAGAAGAATTTTTTTACGAGTATCATTTTCCAAAATCTTTAAAGGCAAAAATTAAACTTAAATTTTTTTTTCTACTTCTAAACTTTCCCTCAAAATTAATCCGGCCAAATGTTGAAAATTTGACAGTAAAATAAATTATATAAAACAAAACTTATGAATGAAAATAAATGTATCCTAAAGAATCCATATAATAAAATAATTAATAAGAAACAGACGATAAAAATGTAAATCTGAAGACCAATTTGCCGATTTTTTAATGGTTAAAACTTAAAATTTTATCATTTTATCAGTTAAAACTTCAGGATCGATTCCCACAAAGGAGAATGAGATCGCCTTCTGAATAAATTCAAATAATCTGTTTTTACTAAATTATAATAAAAAACTATAAAAATAATTTTCTACTGACTGAAAAGAAATGAAAAGAAAGAAATTAAGAAGAAACTGTACACACAGGTTTAGAAGGAATTACATTGATAACTGAAATTAGTAAACACAAAATTTGAGCGCTATAAAATATCAAGGGGAAAGATACTGGATAAATAGAGTTGGGATAAATGGATAGTTCGGATGAACATAAATAGGTTGATTTATTTTAGAGGTAAAAAGGTATACATCAAACATTTAGCCCATCTCTTTAATAAATAAACTTGTTTAGATTGTATGATTTTTACTAGTTTGCTTAGGAACAAATCGGTTGGTTTAGTTCGGGTAAGACAAAATTGGCTTGGGTTTGCTCAGTTCAGGTGAGCAAAACTGGTTTGGTTTAGCTCAGATGAACACAGCTGGTTTGGTTTAGTTCAATTTTTGTTTATGTATTATACAATTCGAAGTTTTAACAAAGCTGGTTTTGATAAGTTCAGATGAACAAAACTGTTGGCATTTAGTTCAGATAAACAAAACTGAGATAGTTTAGTTCAGATGAACAAAACTTGTTGGGATATAGTTCAGATAAACAAAACTGATATAGTTTAGTTCAGATGAACAAAACTGAGATAGTTTATTTCAGATGAACAAAACTTGTTGGGATATAGTTCAGATAAACAAAACTGATATAGTTTAGTTCAGATGAACAAAACTGAGATTATAGTTTAGTTCAGATGAACAAAACTGGGTTTGGTTTAGTTTAGATGAACAAAACTAAAATGGTTTAGTTCAGATGAACAAAACTGGGATAGTTAAGTTTTATTGAATAAAATAGGGTTTGGTTAGTCTGCACACTCTGACCTGTAGGAGAAGTTTCCCCGCCCTTCCCATACGCCACGCCCATAGCAATTGCTTTACGAAGAGGGCGGGGCTTATGTACATTTCTTTCCCTGACTGGGCGGGTAACTCCCATAACCACGCCCATTGCCAAGTTCCGGGGAAGGGACCGAAAAGCGTAAGCTAAACATTTTTATAAATTCTTTTTTTTATAAAGTCAACAAAATTGCTTTTATGACCAAGAAAAAAAACGAAAAAAACTTAATTTTGAAATAAGTAATTCCTCCATTATGGATTTTAAATCTGTTTGTTACCTCGGGAAGTGCTGTCATTACTGCCGTAAAGCATATCGTCCATGGCCGCTGGCGGACGAATTATACCCGATCGTCCATTTGAAACTCGTCCTTCAAGGCGTTCTAATTCGAGTGCTGCAAGCTTCTCTTCAATATTCAATCCACCATCATACACCTGGAAGTAACAAATGTAAATAATAATATATACGTATTGTTATTAATATTAAGTGAGTAAGTAAGTAACAACTTCCGGAAAAGAGTAAATAAGTATTTACAATTATTATTTACAATTTTGCATTGCACATTTTTATCTAAGTAACATACTAAAATTACTTTATCATACATTTTGACTACTTTATAAATATTAATTGCCACAAAATTACACTATCTCCATGCATGTAATTGTACTAAGTAATGTATATTGTGTGAACATTGTTTATTGTATTTTTGGATAGTGATTACCCATCTTGATTTTATTCGAGGTTTAATGGGACCTGATTTTACGTTGTATCTTTATGTGTCATTGCATTGATCACATTTCAAGATTTCGGATTCCTCAAGAAGTAAATTTAGATGTTGGCAGAATTGAAATTTGAAATACAAAATTCGATACTTAAAATGTAAAAATCAAAAATTTTAAATTGCACTACCTGACTTATGCCGCTATCTTTTTCGTCTGGCATCATATCTATTCGCATCTTATCTGTGCGGTCAAACGAATAGTTCTGAATCGCGTTGGCGGTCAATCTCAAAGATTTGTTCACCTTAAGCAACAAATTAATTCAGCGGTTTAAGTTCTTTTTCTTTAAAAGATTACAATACATAAATAATAAATAAATATATAAAAGATCAACCATCATTCCGTGGAAATAAGATTGGACAGATATAGAGGACATAAAAAAATAGCCGATAGAAAAATGAATTTATTGTCCCTTAAGGGATCATAATTACCTCATCTGGGTTCATATTTTCGCTTTCATCAGGATGAATTGGTTTAAGCGGACTAGTAATCCTCGTCCTCCCGCCAGTGTGCGGCGGTTGAAGACTCCGCGGTTTCATCGGCGATGGACCGGTCATCTTCAACGGGGAATCGGCGCCGTTTTTCTCCAGTATTTCTCCAACATTGTCCTGATGCAGAAGATTCATTATTTAAAAGCCTCATATCTAATTTTTTCTTTAGAATCAAGTAACAGAAAATTATAAATAAAAAAAACAAACAATACCTTATTTTCAATGACATCCCTTGCTATGTCCTAAAGTTAAACAAAAAACATCAAAATAAATGAAAAAAAAAATTGAAAAAATATACTCAAAATAAATTCAAAATAAATTCAAAATAAATGAAAATATAAATGAAGTAAATAACACTGACCTGATACATTTGTGGCAGTTTCCTCAACAACTCTGTCATCTGTGGTGTATGGGTGTTAAACATCGAGGCCAGGGACAGCGTGGCAGCTCTCCTAAACAATTAGAATAAATAAAGGTTTAATTCGTATATTTGTTATCATCAACCTCCCTTTGAACTAGTGTTATATTAATCGTTTTTAGAAAACAATTAAAAAACGTCAAATAGTGTCTTTAGAGAGGGACCCTCCCTTTCAGCTCAAATTCAGAACGAAAAATCAGATTTTTCTCCGGCCACAATTGTCTTTGAAAATTAAGACTATTACCAATCAACAGCGAATAGGCTGTTTTGTTTACCCTGAAATTACCCCAAAATAAGTGAACAGTCCCTTTAGGCTTTAATAAAACAAATTTTAAAATGGAAAAACGATCGTTACATAACTTTCGTTTTTACAATAGTTTTGCATCGTATATGGGTTGTTTTTAGCATGTATCTTCTGCCAGGGTCATAATTTGATTTGAATTAAGAAGTGCCAATGTTTAGAATAAATAGTTGCATTTTCTTACACTATGCTAACGTTTGAACCTGAAAGAAATTATGGTTGTATACGACCCAAAAAAACGAAATAATTTGAACAAGGATAAAATCATAACTGACATTGTTGAAATTCTCAAAGTTTAAAACCTTTAGAAAAGCGCAAAGTAAAAATTACAAAATTTTGAAAAATAAAAGCTTGTTAAGAGTTAGTGCACAAAAAATGGGTTATTTTAGGCGTATCTCGTTTATTTAAAACATTTCATACTCGGAGATTCTGAAATTATCGTATATTACATTGACAACATGTAAAATATGCGGGAAGATGACCCATAATGTAACTGCCGGCTACTAGCGCGCCGGTCAGAATGCTCGAATATTTATTTTGACCTCAGAAATGAATTCCTCATGCCAAATTACCTATNTTAAGAATAATATTGATAATAATATTTAGATTAAAATTGAGATATATATTGAGATTAATATTGAGATTAATATTTAGATTTAAATTAAGATAAATATTAAGAATAATATTGAGATTAATATTAAGATTAGTATTGAGATTAATATTGAGATAAATATTAAGAATAATATTGAGATTAATATTAAGAATAATATTGCGATAATATTAAGATTATTATTAATGAGAATAATATGTAGATTACAATCAAGAATAATCTTGAGATTTATATTAATTGATTAGAATATTCAGATTGATATTAATATTTAAATTAATTTTGATAATAATAAAATAAAATTAATAATTGACCTTATTATTTGGAATGTCTGCACTCTCAACTAGAGTAATTAAAGATTTCAAGTAGTATAAAGTTGCCAGCTTAACCTAAAATAAAAAAGAATGTCCTTCCAAAGTAAAAAATAAATATAATTATACCTTCTTTTTTTAAAGATAAATTGTTAGCCTTGACGAAACTTTGAACCAACAAATCGGAATTTTTCTGGTAATAATGTTAGTTAATATTAGTTAATGCATTTTTTCCTCGCAAAGCATAACATTGGCGGATTTCCGAATTTCTTCATTTATTAAATTTCGACCAATGACCATCCAAGGGGCTCTGTGACTAAAAAACCAGACAAGCCAAATTTATACATTTACTAGCAGGAACACTCGGTATTGCCATGGTTTACATTATTGTTCATAGTCAATATTTACTCCCACCGTTTACCCGCGCTTGGTATTAAATTAAGAAATTAGCATTGCCCATGAAATTTCCAAAAGTTTCCAAAATTTGTTTAGCCTAGATGTGACCCCACCCATGTGTTTTCCAGCTATAGCTAACATATAAATAAATACATAAAGGTATATTTGAGCGAAGTGCTTCAATATATTACCTACATGCATGGTTAAATTAAAAGGGGAGGGTGGGTTTGAGGAATCTAATGAAATTTTGCATATGGGCAAATGATGCCCATATGCAAAATTTCTTTCAGATTCCTCAAAAAATAAAGACAGGATTCCCAAATGTTTTCAAATTGGTCAAACTCACCCTCCTCCCCCTTAATAATTTTTCTTTGTACACTTTTGTTTCTATCTTTAGGGATATTACCTTACTGTTTGGAGTTTGAGTTTGATCAGTAATATATTTGAATATAATAATCAGCTGTTCCTCGTAGTTAAAGCTCTCTCTCACCACGTCCAGGGTTCGGTTGATCTTGTGCACCACGCTCCCCAGCAGATCACAACCCAACTTTTAATTCCTAAATCACAGCAAACTGATTGTGTAAGGTAATACCTTGTAAGGAGGACGTACAACCAGTCGTAGAGGTCGGCCTTGTGACTGCTCACCAACTCACAGAGGGTCTCCAGAAAAAGAGCAAACACCTAGAAAGTCAAATGTTAACAATAATATTTTTTGTATCAATTTTTTTAAAATGTTTTTTTTTTTTCGTAGTTGGGTTCGTAATTACTGTTTTGCGAAGAAGAAATGTTGTGTTACCAAAAAAGTGTATTTTTCAATTATTTGGTAATTCAGTTTTTCTTCGTTAAGACATATTATATGTGTACTCAAGACTTTTTTCAATTGTGAAAATTTTCTCTTTGTCGTAGATTTTCAAAATTTTATGTAAATCGAATTTTGTTGGCAGGCAAATTTTTGAAATTTTCCTCGTCAATAAACCTTCCCTGGGGTCACGTGATGTCCCATACAAAATTTGGGCCCGATTGGTTCAGCCGTTTAGACGTTTATTGGATACAAAACAAACAGACAAGTATATGAATAGAATGCCTCATATCCATCATCATCATCGATCATCATCATCGATCATCATCATCCATCATCAAAATCCATCATCAAAATCCATCATTCCGTCATATCCACAATATCCACCATATCCATCATCATCATCAATCATATCCAAATATTTATCAGAAACTTACTTTTAGAAACTTTCATTTTTTAGGAAGGATAAAAACATTGCTAACATTACCTTTGTGTGGGCATCCATAAACATTTTAGTGAAAATCTCAGTAACTCGTCTCAGCTCTGTCCCGGACAGCATTCGTCCGTCCCGGAAATAGCTCTGTAAACCTAGATAACAATTTCAGTATTAAGGTATATGTACCATAAAACCCCTTTTCTTTAAAACAGATGAAAAATGCCCCTTAGTTATCTCAAATGAATAACGATTTGTTTTTACAACAAAACATAATACAAATACAGTGGTCGGCGATTATATTAATACAATGAAGATTAAATCGTGAATTGGATGAAGGGACACTTTGGGCTTTAAATCATTTTAAATTAACAGTATAATTCGACTCTTTTATTTAAGTTTTGATTGTTAACAAGCTTTTTAGAATTACAAGTTACAAGTAATTAAAGCAAAGTTTTTTTAATTGACAGCTTGTCTTGTTTCCCAGTTCATGTATATCTATGCACTATAAAAGCTTGATATAAATCAAAATAGTGTCGCCTTCATTGAATATTGATATATGCATTATGCAACGACGGCTGTAAAATAAAAAAGTTACCTATAAGCCCATCTTTTCGATCAGCCCAATGTGTGGAAGCACAATTAGCAATAATCTCAGAAATGTCCTAAACATAAATAATGAATTTAAAGATTGCAACTTTTAAATTGAACAAACTTACTTAAAATCGAGGCCGATTAATTCCTTTCATTCATAAGTTCTGGAGGCGAGTTGAGTTAATATAAATAGATTTAATAACTCTTATTAGTAAACCTCCGAACTGTAAACTAATAAGGGATCGATTTATCTCTTCTGCAAGTTAAAGGTCTGAGTTAAATTTGAACGAAAGTTTTAAATTTTAATCGATTTAAATAAGTTGCATCAATTTAAAAGTCTAAAGCTCTGCTCGGTTATAAAAAGTAAAGAAGGGATAACAAACCTAAGATTTTACAGGGTAAGGTTATCTCACACTATCTTTCATAATTCAGACAAGTTTTATAAAAAAAGGACCCATGCAGCATAATCCGATGGTGTTTTGCTCACTCTTTTCTTGTACTGCGTGTACAGATACACGTTGTACAGAACAATTGCACTGCTCTGCTTTATATGTACTAGTTTGAAACATGAATATACTCAGAATTATAATGATGAATTAAAATTAATAACGATTCAAATGTTTTCATTGGTAAAATCGTTGCAAATAATCTATTACAAAAGAATTAAAAAGATTAAAATTTTTTTTTGCAAGGGATAATGCATGGTAGAAAAAATAAATCTATTTTATGTAAAATATTCTAGATTATTAGAATTAGAAAACAATAAAAACCAGATTTATCTGCAAAAAACCCAAGATCTTGTAAAAAAATCTCTTTTTTAATCATGAATAATCCCTAAAAAGGGACTGTAAGCGTAATTTTAAGTAACCCTACATAAGAGGCAATTCACAACGGTACACTTAAAACCTTTGTTTGATCAAGTATGAATTGAAATTACGCTTTCACTCCCTTTAATTAAGTTGTTTTATCTCATTTTACTGCAATCCACACCATTCAGGGGTGTTCTACATTAGCTACTAGCACTAAGTTTAGAATAGGTTGTCTCATAAACCCTTTAGAACTATGTACACTGTGTCCCAAAAAACATGATAATTTCTTGAAAAATAGAAAATTACAGATTTCTTGAGATAACATAAATAATTATGTAATAAAAACATCAGAACATGTTGTTTTTGACCCAACCTAAAAAGTTTTTGAAGCAAATGCCAAGTTTTGAAAATATATTAAAAGTACAGACTGCAAAAGATCCGATTATAGAACCAGTGATCATGTTTAGAAGGAAACACTGTAAAAAGCTGTATCTCCCTCCGACCTGAGTATACACCTCGGACGCAGGTCCGTAAAGACGCTCACGGGATCCAAGCTAAACAAACCAGTCTCTTAGGACTTGTATAGTTCTATAAATTCATTATTGACGCGGATTTTTTTCTGAATTTTTCGCGGATTTTTCAAAAATATTCATCAGCTGAGATAAAATCCTAAAAAATACTTACGTCAGAGGGCCGAGGTCGACCGTAGTCGAAAGATTTCTCTGAGCAAAGGCTGGAAGTCTCACTTTCGTCCGAATTGTCGAGGATGTCGAAGGGACCGTTGTTGCTCCGCTTCCGTGGAGATTTCTACGATAGCACAATATTAATGGGACTGTTTTTAATTCAAAGTTTGGTTCAAATATGACATGCGACGGGAAAACGATCAAAAAAGTATCTTTCCATTTTTATATCTAGGTTCATTATAATCATATTAAGTTTAAGGGAAAAACTAATTAAGTTTTCATTTTGATCGATAAGTTGCGCAAATAATTTTCTTTTCAGAAAAGTCGTTGGGGAAATACAAACTAATTAACTAAAAATAAAAAACAAAACACACCATAAGGACAACACTGTCGAAGAAAGTGTTTGGCTGATGTCCCAAAAAATATTTGTCTTAAAAAATTTATTGAGTTTTTCGTCATAAGTTAAATTATTATAAATTTAAATCACAAAAAACACTTTTAGAAAACGAAAAAAAAATCTATAAAACGTAAGTTGGCAGAAGATAGAAACAATAATTTGAATGCAATTTCATTCTAAAGTTTTAAGACAATTGTTTCTTGAGACTTAAAAACAAAAAACGTATTGTGATTATTTTGCATTTATTTGATCGTGACGTTTTGAGTTCATAATGTTTATTAATTTGACAAAGATTTCTTTTCAAAATTGTGAAAAAATAGTTTAGATCGGACAATAAGCGCTTAAAAGGACTGTAAGGATAGTTTCAAGTGATCCTCCATGCAAAGCTAGTAATGCCCAATTAACAACGGTACCCTTGAAAACTTAATCTTATCAAAATGTTAAAGATACCGTCGTCGTTTTCCTGACTTGGAAAAGTATTCTGCAAATTTTTCCATTGCTTCTTATAAGTAAAAAATGCCTCAGTCACTTTAGCAGAGAAATGACAAATAAAATACAGCGTAAGTAAGAAAAACATGGACATCTAATAAATAAATAAAATCAATTGAAAGAACACTTTCAGTCACATTTAAAACTTGAAAGTTAATAAAAAGGTTAAAACAACCTAACAAACTGTGTACTTTTTCAGCATGCATGAGTAAACTGTGAATTATTATTTATGTACTTAATTAAAACCAGTGCTTAGGATCCGGATCCGTTAGATTTGCAAGATTTTGGCTTCCTGGATCCGGATCCGGATTCGGACCCGCAAAAATATGCGGATCCACGGATCCAGATCCAAGGGGTAAAATATCAACCAAAAACTACAAAAATAACCTTTTTTACTCCTAAAACCCAACTCTGAACTTTTGAAAAAAAGAGATTATAAAAATTTCTTCATTTCTGAATAGTTCATCAAGTTTTAGGATAAAAAATCAGTAAATCTTAACGAAATGACCTGGATCCGGATCCGTATCCAGATACGGATTTGGATCCGGATCCATTTTTTCCAGTGCGGATCCAGGTTCCGGATCCGCGTCAAAATTAAATGAATCCTAAGCACTGATTAGAACCAAGTGCTAATATTAATTATCATGCAAACCCTAAAACCAGGAAAGTTAGTTTAGGGTATATATTTTTGAAATATCACCACCCTCATTATTTTCCTGTTCCAAATGGAGCGAAAATATTTGCGTTTTCAGCCAAACTGACACAGAAACTGGAACTGAATTGATAAGTCTCATTTCTCCCCCCCCCTCTGTCCATTTCTGCTATCGTTTTTCGAAAATATATAGCCAGAGGAGACAACATTGTTCTCTTGAAAACAACATTTGAACATATCATTTATTTACAAGAAAACCATAAGAAAACCATTGAGAATATTTAAATCGCAATTAGAAAAGTTAGGAAGAGGGTTTTGTGAAAATTGGGGAAAAAGGATTGATAGATTTGAATTTGAAATTGATTGGCACGATTTTCACCACTGATTAGCGATTAGGTTATAAAAATTCCCCTTAGCTCAAAGCCTCGTTTTCTCGCTTTACCAGTAAATTTTTCTTTAGTTTTATCAAAAGATTAACTGCTAAATTGCAGAGATTGAATCTAGTTTTGTGTTGCTAGGATTAAGTCATTTTGTGACTCAAGGGTAATTTTATGGGCTTGAATTATACCTCTTCTTCGACTAACGGATTGCTAAGTATTGTATAAAATATAAGGAGTTCCAATCAATGAAAAATCTAAAAACTCTATTCACAAACAATGATGCTTCCTGTAAACATATCTCTAATCTACTATTCTACATTTAATGCAGCGGAGTCATAATAAAAAGTAGTTTGAAGGGTTTAACTTAATATCAAAATACCGAGGTTCAATGTTGAAAAGGGATAGAGAGTTAGGAAGAAAAATGCAGCTTTAGAGGATAAAGTAAAAGAAGAACAAACTTCTTCCTCCAGGGCCAGTGGGTCATAAAATCCAAGAAGTGGGGGGTAGGGGGGGGGGGAGTAAATTAGTTATCAATTTACCCTTAAGACAACAAGAGCAGGCATATCTGCACGAACTTGAGGGCTAAGAGTAGTCTTGACAGATGATTTAAGGTTTGTACTTCGTCAACTTTTAATTCGACAAAATTTTTAAAAGTTTTACAAATTTCAAAACAGTCTTTTTCTAAATATTTGCTTTTCTTACAGTATGTACATTGTACAATTTAACGATGGTTTTTTGGTTCGATTTTTAGTTTGCTCGTGCAAATATCTTCTCCCAGGGTTCAAATTTTATAAAGAGTAGGAAAAGCAAATGTTATGAAAAAAAGTTTTAAAATTTTTAAACTTCTCAAAATTTTGTGGAATCTTTTTAAAATTCAAAAAAGTCTTTAAAAATATATGAAATCAAATGCAATGCCCCACACTAGTTAAGAGAATGAATGAGATGGTAAGAGGATAGGGTAAGGAGAGAAGGATTGCCATTTCTGGGACTTACATAGTATGAAGACTCTAAGTTGGTGAGGAATCCTTGAATAGGATCAGGAAACTTGAGCTCGGGGGAGTCGGGGCTCTGAAATCAATGGGTGAATAGGAGACCATGATTGAATCACCCCCCTCCCTTGATTTCCACCACCATGCCACTACACCAATTGTGTGCTTTTACAGTGAAACTAAGTGAAGGGACAGAAAAAGAAAATATTTTGTTTTATGTTTGAAACCCCATTTTACACAACAATAATTGTCGCGATCTTCAAAATTAATCTTTTTAATAATGCTTATGTGATTAAAATGCTTTTAAACTATTCTATTCATATTAAAGTTTAGTTAAGGACAATGTGCTAGCATTTAAAATGGCGGACATGTCACGTGTGCTAAAATTTAAAATAGATTTAAAATGGCGGACATGTCACATGACTAAGATTTGCACTAATGATAAGATTCAAAATGGCGGACATGTAACAAATATTAAGATCTAAAATGACGGAAATGTCATATGAAATAAGATTTAAAATGGCGGACATGTCACGTGTTTATCCATATCCAAGATGGCATGGGTTGCAACTAACCAGGGCATCAGCAAGGGCTGACTCCGCCTCTCTTGACTGGCGCAGTATCTTCTCCATGTTTGTCGGTTTAACTGGAGGTCGTGCTCCTGGTCGGACCAATCCCCGGGTCGTGGGTGTAGCACCAAATCTTTGTGGAGAGGTTTCTCTCGATGTTCCAGTACTGCGGGGGATACCTGACCGTTTTCTACCAGCAGCCCGCCCAACCTAACAATTAATGGAAACCATCACCAAAAAATGTCTGAAATTTAACCCAAAAAAATGGAAAAATGTCCTAAAATAATGGAAAGATTTTTTATTATCTTTTTCTCCTTTCATTTTTGATTTGTTGCCATTTATTAGTACTTAGAACTTGTTATACCATGGTTTTAACCCAAGCAGTTTTTAACGCATAAAAGATAGACTTGTTAAATTGAATAAGTTAAAAAACCAAAACCTTTTATAATTAAAAAATATGTTGCCCACCCAAAAAAACTAAGTGATTGTGGCGAGGTTAAGTGCTAAAAAATGATCCAGATGAGAAAAAAATATTTATATAAAAGTGTGTCCTACCGTTGACGAGGCATAGTTCGGGCTTCCAACGGTGTCAAAGTATGTTTGATAGGATTTGAGAGAGGAGGGGGAGGCGGATCGACTGCCAGGCTGAAAAAAATAATTCATTATTTTTTAAAACTTTATTATTTTTCCAACAGCAAAATGCACTAATCCTTTTTAAATATAAACAAACTTTTGAAAAACGAGAATTATTTTCACTTGAGATCCTACTTTTCAATTTTTTTTATTCATTTCATTTTGAATCTTCAATCCTTTGAATAACATATTCGGAGTGAATAATTAAAATTTTCAAACAAAGCTAACATTGATTGTTCTTCCATTAGTTTTATGATAACAAATATATTACAACTATTGTATTAGCTATGGGTCATCATATCATGTAAAATAAAACAAGTTTTGGGGTAGTATTAAAAGGACAAACNCCACTTCTAGACTCCCCCTCTACTACCTGTGACTGTGAGACTCCTCCAGGTTTTCTAGTAGACCTAGCAGCTCCTCTGTCAGGGGTTCCCAGGGGTAGTCCAGGGCCCCCATCTGAAGACTTACGGGGCCGGGCTTAAAAAAAATTCCATTATTTTTATTTTTTTAATTCCAAAATTAAGGTTTAAGGTAAAATAAGAATAGAAAAAATTGTTTTTATATAAAGCAGTAATTTGGTAAAAATTAAAAAACGCTTAAAAATAAAAATAAATAAAAGAATTTTGACATGCCGCAAGACATTCCTGTTTTAAAAATAGAAATATTAAATTTTGTTTTATCAGTTTCTAAATAGTTAATCATAACAAAGAAACTTTAGCCTTAAAACTTAATTTGTCCTGAATATGGTTTCACATAATAAATGAATTCCTTGAATAAAGTGTAACAAAATTAAATTGTGAGTTTAAAAAAATCTAAATTTAAAAACTTGTGAAACTACCAAATGAAAATTATCAGAAATGAAAGTTTAACAAATATGTACAACATATTGTACAACAGGATCATGCTGGAATCAACTAAAAAAATTACTTACAAGACTCTTTGTCAGCTAGAATAACACAATACAAGGTCTAAATGTGCTACATGAGCAAAAAAAAATGTGAAATAAGAGCCTCAGCCATTTTTTTTAATTACATAAAAAAGTTTTTAAAAATTCAAAATATTTTTTATTTTATTTTGTTAGATTTGATCAATTACCCCCCCCCCCCCCGCCCCCAGAATGGCTGAGACCCCCTAACTTACGTAGACTGGCGCCGGGTAACATACCCAGCCTGCCCCGCTGTGAGTACTGCTGGCGCACACTAGCGCGCCGGGCAGCGCTCGAATCTATAGCGCTGTTACTGCGCCCAGCCGGGGAGTGAATAGGACTTCCGGTCATCGAAGCTGAAACATACAACACTGCACACAGGTTTAGGTCAGAACTATCCTTGCAAAATCAGCTTTATTACTCTTCTGTACCAACCAGTTGTATTATGTACGGCTTTTCTTCAAACCATAGAATTTTTTAGTAAAATTAATGTAAATTTGCCTGTCTAAATAAATATTTAAATTTCAAAGGAGTGATAACGAATAGAGAGGGTTTAGGATGAATCATGATTAACTTATAAAAGGATTTAAACCACTATTCAATGTTTCTGGAAAGACAATTAAATTTTGAGTATAAACAACTAGTACAATTTACAGGACTCTCTATTCATAATTAAATTAAATTTACTGCATACAATTATGAAAATCCGTACATAGAGTTAAATTCCGATTTAGCAAGGATGGTTAGGAAGGATTTACTATTTACTACAGAGGTATTGAAAACAAGATTCAATAAAAGCATTAAGTAATTTGTGCTGGAAAGCTTAACAAAAATTCTTCAACTGAACCTTTAAATAAAACTAAATGTTAGTGGGTTATATCTACATCAAATCCCCCCCCCCTTCCCCTCAGCCAATCCGAACTTCTTAAAACCAAAATATCTTTTACAGATACTTTAAACATCTAACGAGCACTTCATATTTTAAAGCTGAAACGGATTAATAATATTACTGTTAGTATTAAAAACTGATTTAGTCCAGGCCGTCTTGTGAGTTTTCAGTGTCTTAGGAAAACAGTCTTTAATAAATTCTTTGAATTTCTAAAAGAACTGTCTTGAAAATAGTTCTCAGTACAGTCTTTGAAAATCAGTTCTCAGTACAGTTTTTGGAAAATAGTTCTCAGTACAGTCTTTGAAAAATCAGTTCTCAGTACAGTTTTTGGAAAATAGTTCTCAGTGCAGTTTTTGGAAAATAGTTTTCAGTACAGTTTTTGGAAAATAGTTCTCAATACAGTTTTTGGAAAATAGTTCTCAGTACAGTTTTTGGAAAATAGTTCTCAGTACAGTTTTTAGAAAATAGTTCTCATTACAGTCTTTGGAAAGTAGTTCTCAGTACAGTTTTTGGAAAGTAGTACTCAGTACAGTTTTTGGAAAATAGTTCTCAGTACAGTTTTTGGAAAATAGTTCTCAGTACAGTCTTTGGAAATATATCTTGCTTCAGTCTTGAAAACAATATTCAATACAGTCTTTAGAAACAATTCTTGAGTACAGACTCGGAGAACTATTTCTTCGTACAATCTTTTAAAAATATTTCCCAACATATTGGTTGGAAAATGAGGAAGCAATAAAGCGAGGATATTAAATAACCTTCCAATTTTATAAAATCTTCCAAACTATCTCCAAGCCCAGTTCGAACTGATAAATAATAAAATTAATATCCAATATTTCTACAAAACAAAAGCCCTAAAGTATGGAGCATAATGAAAAAAGCAAATAAAAATAAAGAATAAACTAAAATCGTGCTTGAATTTACCTTGAATGCATTTCTTTTCATTTTAAAACAATTCACCCAGTCAAACTCAAATTTTTTAACCCTCATTTTTGCAACCTGATGAAGTAACTAAATGTCCTTTGAATTATCAAAACACATCATGTTGCAAAGATACAAGGACTAGCAAATTTAAGTTTGAGGCAATTGTTCCTTTACAACCAATTTAAAATGAGAACAGTACACTGCACAGTAAAGATAAAAAACTAACAAAATCATCCATGCGGCAAAAAAAGACAACATAAAGCAATTTCAATTCTCAACTCACTTTTATCACTCAGATTGCTTTTTTCTCTTATTAAACTCCCCTTCCCTGAATATATAAGAATAAATTGTGAAAATACGAATTTTATCAGTTCCGTGTCCTATCCAATATGACATACAAGGGTCGCGTCTATCTTTACTCTTCATTGTAACTAATTTATCCAAATAATTATCAATCATTAACAATCAAAATGGTCAAAAAATAGCTTAAGGCTGACCACCCTGTAATAACCAGGGCTAGATGCATTCGGTTTCTTCAATTTAGATTCTATCTTGTTTTGGTTAATGATTGTTAATCTTCAAACTTACTTTTTTTTACATTATAATTTTCAATTTGAAAATCTGTTTGACCAATCTGATTGAAGTAATAGGGTAAGCTGTAGCTAAGCTGTTCTTTATCTCACGCTGTATAGATCCGCTAGTATATGATCTGGTTAATCTTAGTATCCCTGGAACCAACCCAATCCTTCTCCGGGATACTTCTAGACAATAATCTAGTTTAACCTATCCTGGAACCAACCCAACCCTTCTCTAGGATACTCCTGGGCCTAGTATCCCTAGAACCAACCCAACCTTTCTTCCAACCTTTCTTTGGTTACTTCTAAACGATAATCTGGTTTAGCCTATACTGAACTCAACAGAATCCATCTCCGGGATACGTTAAGACCTAGTAACCATGGTTCAACCCCATCTTACTCGAGGATATTTCTATACCTAGTAACTCTGGATCCAACCCAACCCTACGGGATACTCCTGGATCTAGTAATCCCGGAACCAACCCAACCCTGCTCCAGGATATTTCTAACCCTGGTATTCCTGGTTCCAACCCAACTCTTCTAACTTCAAGAAAATTAAACCACTACTGTATTTGTCACCAGCAAATAAATAAAAAATGTAAAAAAATTAATTCTTGAATATTATTCATATATTCAGCAGACCAAAACCTCAAATCCCAATTATCTAATCAAAATATCTTTTCAATCTGATGTTTTTAACTGAAAATTTGTTTAACTTAGACTTAGATAAATAAGTCAAAGTTAAGGTTTCAAAGATATGGGAGATAAGAAATTAGAGTTTGAGGCGAATTATCAGGGCTTTTGACTCATGTATTAGAAAAAATTCCATCTAGTGATAGTATCGACTGGATATTAACCAATCTTTAAGGAAGTGTCGTGCTAATTTTAAATGACCCATAATTTAAAAAAAGTGGCATGCCTGATTCACAACGATAGCCTTAAAAACGTCGTCTGATCAAGTAAATAAGACATCAACAGATTTTATTTTCGAAAATTGATTCTTAAATTGTATTTACTCTGTAACAGTGGAGGAAATTGTCACTTTTAAAGCTAGAAAAATGACGAAACCATCAATAATATTGATCAGATCAAGGTTTCCAGAGTACCGTTGTGAATCGGGCATTTCCCTCAATAAATAAAAACACAAGTCCCTTTAATGACAATACACCATCACCAATATATCCGAATGTTAGTAGAAAAAAACAAAAATAAAACCAAGCAACACACGTTGTCTGACTAGAGTTGATCTTGTCATGATGTCAGGCGTACCATCTCCCTTGGCTGGTGAACTCCATTTAGGGATTCCGCTGGATAAAGAAGGAATTCCGCTAGATATTCCAGAAGGAATTCCGCCTCCTTTCCGACCAAGGGTTGCAGAGCCGTAGCGCACCTATAAATGAATAGTACAAGCGACATATTTAAAGCGTTAACCTAGAAGTCTTTTAAAAGAAGTGGGCGACGTTTCAGATGGATTTTGATAAGTTGAAAATTTATGATTGCGAAAAGACTTGAACCGGTGGTGTCAACAACTGGTTTAAGGAAAAGATTATCACGGAAAAAATTCGGTAATTTTTAAACTATGCCAGGAAAATCATTTTATTTGACTACCATACGGGAGAAATAAGTGACACAGCTACAACTAGTTAAACCAAATCCCGTCTATTCAAAACTTTTCTATTTAATGTTGGAGAAAGATTACCGGAGCCATCGGAGTATCCAGGTTCTCCGTTGATCCTGTGACAGAACTCTGTCTAGATCTCACAACTCCACGCACTCCCCGATCCACTCCTCCTCCCATTAAGTTTAAGGAGTTAGATGAGCTAGAGTTAGACATTTCACCCTGTACAAAAAAGGTGTAAATTGAAGATTAGGGAAAATAAGTTTATTTAAAACTTTAAATACGCAGAGGCGTATACAGGAGAGGAAGGGGGGGGGGGCTATTGGGACGCAGTCCCACATTGGATCAGTGAAATCTATGGTTTCTATGGGGGTTTTCAGGCCTCCGCAATTTATAAGCTCCTCCCCTTTACATTAATTAATACGCCCCTGAGTCCAGAGATGTAGTCTACAATATAATTTTTTATTGATTGTTTTGCTCTTGGATTCAGACATTTCTTAACTTTAGTTGAAAAATAACCATCCAAATGCATTTAACTTGTTGATTTTTGAAGTAAAAAAAGTAATCAGAATAAAAGAAGCATAAAATTAAGCTTCGAAGTCCAAAAAAGAGCCCTCTAAAAACTAACCTGTAATATTTTTTTGTAAGAATAATCTAAACTCTGAAGCAGGTTTTCAGCTTGATCTTTGAAGTGATCAGCAAACCCCCAGTACGCTCTTAACAAAATATATATTTTAATTGATTTAACATTATTAAAGGTTGTTTTAAAATTCGAGACTTTCCAATCATACCCTATCGGAGTATCTATTTTTTACCTACATTTTGTTCAGATTATTTTTGTTTAGAAAATAATCATTTCTTGTCATTTGTGTCATTATCTTAAAGCAATTGAAAAGGACTTGGAAGTAATAAGACGATTGTGCATCTTTCGACCTACGTACATCCACTATACTAAACTTCTGAACTATTCGCATGTTGTTTTACACATGTGTACGCAGCGCCCTAGCCACAGTGCTCGGCCCAGAAATAGTACAAAAATAAACAGCTGTCGTATCCTCGTAGGTCGGATATTCTAGTAGATCAGAAGGTTTATAGGTCAGACGTTCAGTAGCGGGGATGAAGCGCGTAGACGATTCAACATTACTAATGATAACATTATCTTACTTTCTTGCGAATGTTCTTGCTTCGGCATCTGCATCAGAAATCCCCTTTTTGATTGCTTCCTGAAATAAATTTTTTTCATTATCAAATATTTTCTGAACCTGGCCAGTGGTTAAAATTAAATAATTCCAAAATACGAAATGAGCTATGGAAATATTGTCAATGATTTGCAAAGCACGTTTTCCAGATTTAATAATAATTCTATTTAGTATTTTTTTCTTCATGTTTTTATGGGAGATTTTAAAAGAAAATCTCAACCAATAAAGAGGCATTTTAACCACGTATATATAAACATTAAGAGAAATCTTTGTAATTAATTATCCGTGAAAAATGCCCAAGCCATAACTAAATTGTACCTGCAGCAATGCCACGTGTTTTTCTAGAGAGTGCGTTGGCCACGTGTGGAGAAGCTGGTCCAGAAACTCACAAATATACCGCCTTAATTACAATATTAATATCCATTGTCACGCTGTTCTTTTTCACAATAATATTTGAACTTATATTTTCAATGTTTGTGTCTACAATAAACTATTCCGTCAAAAACTGTTTTTAGTTGGTAAAAAAGTAAAAAAAAAAATCTTTTTATCACAGTCAATAGTCAGACCCCTAAAACTACGGAATGGAAAGACGGAATTTAACCTATCTTATGTGTCGTCTTTCTATTCCAATTTTTTTAAGGGTCACACTGTATTCTATCCCAGCCAAATACCCTACAAATATATATATATATATATCGTTGAAAAACTACCCCCCCCCTTTTCAGAACAAGCCCTTTTCCCTTCTTTATGCATTTTATCTCTTCTGACATAAAAAAATGGGGGGGGGGGGGTTAAAAATGTATACCCCCAATAATACCTGATTTCCTTTGATCTACTGGATACATGTTGACATATTATGGGAACAAAGCGTGTACTGACTGAATTCTGTATAATAAACCGAATACAAACAATACCACTAGTAGCCATCACCTAAAACAAAATTTACTGAAAGGGACTGTCCACGTAATTTCAAGTAAACCTCGATTAAAGTGTTGCCTGTCCGATTCAGAAAGGTACCCTTAAATCGGATTTTTTTCTTTATAAAAATGTTAAACATTTTGACAATTACGGCCCTTTTCTCTGCCACTTAAATCCACAACTCACTAAGTGTACAGAAACCCAATCTTTATCGGTTCGTAAATTCTTCTCAGACGAAATATACCGGTGTAAAACCGTCGGACATGCAACTCTTTAAACTGGAGGGTCACTTGTTTACTTCGAAAGTACCATAAATGATACAACAATTGTAACTCTAACAAGTTGAAACCATTAATTTTGAAGAAATGAGTAAAACTCATTCTATCCTCACAACGCAATTAGCATTCATTGGTCAGATCACCGATATGTTTGCATTTTTAACCAATTACAGATCATGATAATCTTATGAGGAAAAAAATGTAATAATGGAAATTCTTAAACGAGATGAAATAATCTTGATGTATTCTTTAACGAAGGCCGCAGGCAGGAGTACAACTCACAACTCTCATAAGTTTTAACCTCTCGCATGAAAATAAAATTGTTTATCCTAATTTTACCTTGGCACTGTTCTGTATCAAATTGATGAGGCTTGGAAGCAGAAACTCTAAAAATCTGTCAACCTAAAAATTATTTTTAATCTTAGTTCTAAACTTCTAAGAACTAGGATAGCTAACGTTGAGAAGAGTTAAAACAGCTAGCATGCATAATTTTCTAGAATGACAAAATCAGATTAACCAAAAAAATTGTAACGAACAAATAATAAATAAATAATAATAAAATAAAACACGCCATAAATTCCGAACTGAAACAGATTTGAACTGTCTAGAGAAAGTATGGAAAAACTAAGCTTTAAAGGGATAAAAATGATAATGTGTAGTCCTAACAGATCATCAAGAGCTGAAAACTTTAGAATGAGATATCCTTAATCACGATCGCTTAATCTGATTATCCAATGTACACATTTTTGATTTTATTCTTAATCCTCTTTTTGGATATCCCTACTGTATAAAAGTTGCGTTTGATAACAATTACAGATACAATGCTATATCGATTGAACTAATATCCGATTGAATTAAAGTCAGCTGTTCACAAGCCCGCTTTTACAGCATTTAAACAAATGTAATTTTAATTATGTTAATACGAAATTATTCAAAATCATACTTTAGGACTAATGTAATTTTGAAAGTTAGTTTTAATATACATTAATCCAAAACTTACGTTCGTTCATTCGCTGTTTAGTTCAATTGATAAGACACCATCTAAACCAGTAATCAAAACCGGTTTTTAAAGTTAAAGGGTGCATCGTAACATTACACGCTGATTGGTTAAATTTTTAACTTCTTTCTTGGATATCGAATGCGTATTTAAATAATCTCGGGATTAGTAAAACCAGGAGTTTTAGCATTAATCTTGATATCCACCATTACAAAGTTTTCAGATGTAACAATTTAAAGAGTGAAAGGTTTAACTTGAAGAATTATAAAGCTATTATCTACTGAACAATTTGGTTTGAAGAATAAATCCCCTCAAGTTACCTTTTTCTGCTGGTTATCAACAAATAAATTCAAGTTAAATTGAAGATTTCTATTGTAGATCGTATTAAATATAAAATCTTATATTTCGTCTGAATATTGTAAACTAAAAGCTTATTATTATAAATATACGTTTCCATCTCAATTCTTAGCATTTTTCTCTTAAAAACAAATTAATTACTACCTTATGCTTTATCTGTTGGGAGAGGAAGGCAATTGTTATACAACATTCTCTAACAACCTTAATCATAAATTCTTTAACACAAACTCAAATTTTTAATCACTTTATCTTTGCAACCTAATGGTGAAAACCTTTGAGTTTTAAAACTTGGATTATGTTCAGATCTAAATATTTATTCTAATTGGATTATTTGATCTAACATACTTCATCAGAGTTTGTTACAAAGACTCAATTCCATTATTCAGAAATTAACATTAGAATGATTGTCGTCTTTATATTCTCTCTAGAAATATCGCCAAGTTTAGTATTTGTAACTGTCCCATTTGACATATCGGTCTCAAATATTTCCAAGGCTCATTGACACTAATAAATCTAATTATTAGTGACAATAATTAAGAAAAAAGGACTAAGAGAATTATTCTACATCATATTGGGTATTGTCACTATTACTGAACAAATCAAAGGAAAAGAAATTAAAGAGTTAACAATAAATTATTAATAATTCAACAGAGAGGCAACGAATTCTGAGGGTTGGTTTGAGTTAAATCGTTATTGAATCTGATTCCTAGCCTTTTTAATTCTCAAACTTAAGACCATACCAAACTAAATTTAAAATTTAGGGAAACCGGTTTTTGGTCTGAGGTGCCTGACACTGTCGAATAAGTTTAGAAACACTAAAATTTTGTTACCTAAGTAAGAAAGTTTTTTTAACAGTTATCAGAATAAAAAAAGGATTTCTAATTTAATTCATTTTCCTCCGTCAGTTACTTTAATTCATATATGTTATTCCAACCTGTGATCTAAGATCTTTAACGCAGGACTCGAATGGCATCTCCAGACCCTTAAGACTGATGTTGAACTCGTCGAATTGACCGGCTCCAGCGATTACCAGGGAGCGCATCATGCATAAAGCCTTAACACAAGAAGCTAGAGCTGGGAACTCTTGTATTCTGGATATCGAGATCAAAGCTTGATCTCTTTGTTAATCTACAGATTAATTTAATATCGCGAACGTGAACAGCCAATTTTGCGTTCAAACAATAACACAACAGAGAAATTACGGAATATCCTGCATCAAGAGAATAAAAATCAAAAGTGTCTACAGCAGTACATACAAATTTGTATGAACTGCAATATTTTTTATACAATGAAACTTCCTGAGGTAATGCGATTTTTCACAAAAATTATCGGTTTTGAATTTTTTTCGGACACAAACAGACTGAAAAAAACCTAGACAGACAATCTTTATATATATATAATATATATATAGCCCGCAGGATGATGCACTTTTTTAATAAATATAGTAAAGGGAATATGGTTGACCTCAATTCTTAGTTTCCAATCAGCTGCATGTTTGGAGAGTGTTGTATGGATTTTATTTAACTCCTCATCCAGACCACGTCCAGTATCCATATTTTTACCTTTTTAACTTCTTCAAATGCTTGAATAAAACTTTCTTCATCCACGGCCCCGGCCTGGCCACCTAAAATAATGATAATAATGAAAACGAAAATAATAATAATAATAATTATCTCGGAAAGCAGTCCAGACTCCGGGTACCTTTGCTCCATCGAAAAAAGCTTCTCAATAGGACCATTGTGGATCATTTATTAAAAACCCCGGAAGCTTCAACTTAAAGATAAAAGCTAGACCCGAGCTTCTACGAAATTTAGACTTCACTCTGCAAAGAGAAGTTCAGTACACAACATTGAATTTACAAAAATGTTAGGTGAAAATTAACGAAGACAGCTTACAGCTAGCAACTTTAAAATATTAGATTTTCATCTAACTATTTATGGGGGGAAAAATGCTATTATAGACGTTAGTGCTTAGGATCCCCAAGATTTTGGCTTCCTGGATCCGGATCCGCAAGAATATGCGGATCCACGGATCCAGATCCAAGGGGCAGAATATCAACCAAAAACTGCAAAAAAAAAACTATTGAAAAAAGAGAGATTATAAAAAAATTTCCTGATATCTGAATGATTCATAAAGTTTTAGCATAAAAATAAGCGAAAAAAATAATTTGAAAATTCTGCATTGTTAGCACTGGTAGTGCTGGTATACGATACATTTTAAAATCATAACTTCTACATGAATATATTGGAAGATATATATATATATACAAAATATAAAAAGTTCATGGTGCTCAGACATAAGCCTGTTCTAGCCGCTGCACATTAACACTATCACAGCTTAGAGAAAAAACATGATAAGGGGTAGATAGCATAAGGAAAGACAAGTATGATGGGGGAGAATAAAAAAGGAAGTGGGGGGGGGGAATAAAAGGAGGAAAAGGGATTAATTACCCGATGTACTACCATATCTGATAGATGGCTGCCGCCTTATTGCTGAACTCGTCGATCTAGTATCCCCTGAACAGAACAACAACATGCATGTTATTGTTAGTAAACAAACAAACAAAACAAACAAGGGAGTTAATTTCAATTTGTGTATTTTTTGTTTCTGAAGCAGATTTTTGTGGCCCTTTTAATAGGAGCGTTCAAAACGAATTAAACTAATAAAATAATCCGTCTAAGGGATAAACAATCCAAAAATCTAAAAATGGAAAATGTAACTCCATTGTAAACAAACCAGGACAAAAGGTTAGTACTAACACACACACAAACATTTTAATATAATTGATTAATTTTCATAAATCTAATTGTAAATATATATTCAATGATATGGATTCTGCCATAAGCCAATTCTAAAACAAAACAAGCTTTTTGTTAAGCTGAAAAATCAAAAGTTGATTTGCCATTATAATGACCTAATCATTAATAGAATAGACTTGAGTTGACTTCCTCCACGCTGGGATATTTAGGGAGACATCNCCCCCCCGGTAAATATCGTAAGCGTTAGGGAGCGTAAAATAGTACAGTTTTTTCTTATACTAAAAATAGAAGATTTAATTAAAAATTAGATGTTTTTGGTCCAATGAAAATGGCAAAGCAATATTTGACTTAAATTCTACCAACAAAAGTTCCAGATCGTTTGAGTTTAATCCTTTTAGGCCCCAATATATCCGTCATTGTGTCAGCTCGTTTCAACTTTGTTGTTAGTTTAAAATCTAGAAAATAATTTTAACATCACTATTGAGAAAATGCCAATTTTAGTTTCACAGGAAAAAACTCAAACTGCAAAAATATCTACAATTTGATAGTCGTGATCCCTTTAAAAATTTACCAAGTGGTTATTCCCAAATTTATTTATGATTCATGACTCTTTATCTTAGTTTCCAAAACAGTAAATACCCAGTTAAGAATTTATAAGAACGAGATGCGTTTTACTTTGAAAATTTTTTTTTCAGTTTTAGCAGGCATAACATCTTTCTTCCAATAAAAGGTGTAATGTCATGATACTCTTCCATGTCCCATTCACAACAGTATCCATTAGAGCTTTGTCTGATATCCTTTTAATATATTATTTGAAGACGACAAACCAAACCAAATCTAGTAAAAACATAATCTTGCTACTAGGATACCTGAAGGTGGTTTAGGAGTAGCAAACGTTTTCCTATCTCTGGCTGGAACACTACTAGATCTGGATTTTAAGCTTCCGGCAGATTTTATCTAGAAACCAAACCGTTCTATGCATAACAGATAACGATGGAATAGGAAGACGACATTACAAGAATACTTAACCGTACTTAAAGCTGTCTGAAAGCATTAGTTTCGCTAGAACTTAAAACTAATATTTTAATGAAATGGGTAGGTTTGTTTACACTGCACAATTGCGGTGTCTCATGCTCATTGGACTTATTCTATAGGTCGTCTTCCTATTTCAGAGTTTTTGGGTCATCACTGTAGAAATCACAAAAAATACACAGGTACCCATAAAACTGGAAAAGAAAGAAGACTGTTAAACTAAAATTATGATTTTAAAATGTCAATTAACATGAACAGCAATTTTGCAGTGTTCACAGACCCATTCACTTAAAAAGACTAGTAAGCTACTGGTAACACTATTTTTTTAAACAACATCAAATACGCAACATATTGTTTAAATGTCGTCTTATCATTCCTGCAGTTTAAAAGGTCTCAATTATGTAATTTTTCTTTCGAAAAAAATAATTAAGCACTTTTTAGGCGACATACATTAAAGCTGCTCCATATTATAAAAACCATATATTTAATTGTCCAGTAGGTTTAATCCCAACTGGTAAAAATCTCCAAAAAAAAATTTCTATATATCTTAAAATGAAACATATAGTTTTACAGGAATTTTAACGCTTGCCTAAAAAGCTGATGTTCACAACATGGTGAATAAGCTCTTGCTATTTTTGAACATTATTTCAAAGGTTAGTATTGAAAATTGACGGATATATTGAGAAATTTGTCTACATTCAAATTAACAGCTAAATGGTTTAAATGTTTTATAACTTCGGTCAAATTTAAAGATACAGGACAGGGAGAGCAGACAGATCCCATTTTGAAGAGTTCTTAAGACGTACAAACTTATTTTGATACACTTCTTGTCGATTTCCATAATTAATGATACACCCTACATGGATTAGAAAATTAGAGTTGTAGGCAGGTGTTTAATTCCTTATATAATAAATAGTAAAATTTAGACTAATACCGAAGCTCTGTCTGTTTCATCCTCGTAATTACCTGCAAAATATAATAAAAATACAATAAAAATAAATAAAACTACATTAAGATCAAATAGAAATACAACAATAAATAAAAAAGTTTTCAAAATGCGTGCTAAAATCTTTTAAGAGACAAAAAGGTTGGTGGTATAACTGCTTATTGGTTTCCTATACGAAACGTGACTTGATTTTCCATGTTTCATTAATTATTTATAACACTGTTATTTTGGTTTGCAGTGTTATAAAGCTTTTGGACAGAAATTTTCTCTTTATCGAGAAGCCTTTCTAGATTATATTTTGTCCCGAGCTTTAGCGAAGGACAAAATATAATCTGAAAAGGTGAGGACCTTCGAGATATTGATAAAATTTAAGTCTAAAAACTTTAAAGCACGTCGTGCCAAAATAATAATGTTATAGGTAATATTATGAAACGTTTGTGTACTTGTCTTATTTCAATGGCTATTTCTAGATCAAATAAGCTTTGAAACAAAGCAGAAGTCATAATAAAGTTGATTTCAAATTTTTAGGATAATATCCTAAACTTTTTGGAGAATTTTTTTGATGACCTCGATAGATTAACTGCTTCCTGTTTGGCTTGTTTTCGCTTTATGAGACAATATATGAGACTCTCACAGATTTTTAGACGATAACTCGCAGATTTTTGAAGTCCGGCTTCCAGATTGATTCTTAACAATGACGAGATTTAAAAATCAAATTCATCTTAATTTTTAAATTAGTTCGTTGATTCAAGTACGGCGTACGGCAAATAACCTGAATTTAATTTAAAGTTGAATTTTATTTAAGAAGAAGATTTTATTTCATCCTTTTTGTAAGGAAGCACGCTAAATTCGTATTTTCCCTACATCATATTGATAACTAAATAAATTTGGCTTGTCTGTTTGTGTCCAATAAACGTCAAAACGGCTGAACCGATCGGGCCCAAATTTTTTGTGGGACATCTAGGGACCCCAGGGAAGGTTTATGAATGATTGAAATTTTAAATATTTGTCTCCATCAAAATTCGATCTTCATTAAATTTTTGAAAATTTTGAAAATCCACGAAATTTTTTGTAATACTAGATTGGGAACCCGGCGCTGTCCAGGATACTCAATACTTAACTCCTGCCGTTTACCCACGCGTCATCGTAAATATTAAGTTCCTTATAAAAGTGGATCAATTCAACTTAAATCAAAACCAAGCTAAGAACATTTCCGTGGTTTTCCAAAGTCCAGGGGTTCATGAGCTAAGATCAGACAAACTGACATACAGAGAAGACTACTTAATGTGTATATAAATATAAATGTAGATACTAGAGAAATGTAGAGTTTATTCTGTACTAAGATGCACATTCAGCGACTAGTCAGCATGAATAAGATATACATGGCGTTAATGGCGTAAAATCAAAATAAATTAACTATCAAATACACAGGTTACACTAATTTACAATAAGTTACTTTCTCAAGTTTTCCTGATAAAAAAGGAAGATGACCAACTACTTTACAAGAAAAATGGGGGGAAAGAGCAAGAAAAATGAGTGTGAGTGGGGACGTATACAAGCTTTGAATTGAAAATATCCAGATTTAAAGAAAAAGCTAAATTTCTTTAACAAGCTTATATTGCAACTTCTGGATGACTAAAAACAACAAACAAAATTCAAAGTTAATTCGATCAAGGTAATAAATGCCACTGAAAGTTTGAGATGGACACCTTTACTGAAGTGGTTTCCACTATCTTCCCCTTCATAGTGTTAGAGGTTCAAATTTTTAATTTTCAAAAGATACAATCCAAAATGTCAGGTACTAGTTTCAATTTTCTTTAACATGTTCATTCTCGTTTTCCTTATCATCGTCATTTGTTGATTCCTTGGACTGTTCCTCTTCGATTTCAATCTTTTTAATTGGTTCAGTTTCAACTCCTGCTTTATCTTCGCTTTTTACACCTTTTACCTCTTCCTGACACTCATTACTTTCTTCTCCGTTCTCCTTTACTTCCTTATTTGTCTCCTTTACTTCCTCCCCTGTCTCCTTTTCTTCCTCCCCAGTCTCCTTTTTTTCCTCCCCAGTCTCCTTTTCATCCTTATTAGTCTCATTTTCATCCTCATTAGTCTCCTTTTCATCCTCATTAGTCTCCTTTTCATCCTTATGAGTCTCCTTTTCATCCTTATGAGTCTCCTTTTCTTCTTCATTAGTCTCCTTTTCTTCTACATCTTTATTATCAATAAGTTCGTTTAGTTCAGATTGAGTTTCAGGATTTACTTTGTGATCCTCTGTAACCTCTTCTGCAAGCTCAATATCTTCATCAGGAGCAGTTTTGTCTGCTAACGCATCTCTTGGGTAATCAATATCTTTTTCAGCAGCATCTTGACCGTCTTCAACAACATGAAAACTATCTTCTTCAGAAGATTTTATCTGAAGACGACCTAAAGCCGATTTCTTTGAATCAGTTTCCTTTTCAGGGACAGTTGAAGCTTCACTGGAATCTTCCATTTCTGTTTTATTGTTTTCATCATTTATTTCTAAGGGGTCGGGTATAGATGTGTTAATTTCTTCCAAATCATCCGTAGATGTTTTCTCTGACGCATTTTCAGGAGGATCTTTTTCATTCTTGTTTTTTAATTCAGGATCTTCCCCTTCTTCCAGTTCTTCAATACTCATGTCAAGTATTCCATCTTCTTTCGACTCTTCTGTCTGCTTGATTTTATCTTCAGCTTCTTCTTCTTTAATCTCTTCTACTTCCTCCTCCTCTTCATCAAGTGGAAAAGGAAGATCAGGAACGGTTTCAACAGTTTCTATGACTATATCATCGATAACATCAGATTTGGCAAATATTTTGGCTTCTTCAGCGCTTCCTTTCACCTCTAAGACCGGCTCGATATCTCTAATATCTGCTTCATCCATGTTGAGTCTATAAATGTCAACTACCTTCTTGTCGGCAGTGTCCAGGTTGACCTTGGAGTTTGCAAATGCTTCCCGGATTTTCTGCGTGGCAAGGACAACGGTTTTCTCGTCACGGTCAGCATTGGTTGACCATGATTTCCGAATATCATTGATCATTGATCGTAGTTTGTTTGCAGCTCTATCAGCTTCCAGAAGCATTGAATCTACATAGTGTTTTTTATAATTTCCGTTGATTGGTGGTCGTACAGCCGGTAAGCGCCCATTTCCGACAAAATGAGTTCCTCCGTTCTTGATGATTGGCCGGATACCTGGAACCGGCCGGATAGGATTCGGCCGGACAAAATTCAGAGATTTACCGGCCTTTGTAGGACTTTTTGTCCCGTTTTTGAGGACTTTTCCCTGCTTGGGCTTGAGGACTTGTTTCCCCGCCTTGTTTTTGTAGTACATGAAAACACCGTAATAATCCGCGCGTGCGCGACGTATACAGGATGGGTCGCACAGCAGACACTTCCATTTTTCTTGCTCCTCGATATTCTGAACGTATTTCCTGAAACAATTGCAAAATTATTTTAACATGTTCAGGGAGAGAATGATTTTCAAAGCTTGGAGAAATGTGTTTTTAAAGCTACCATGCTAAGCTGAAATAAGGTTTTAACTTGAAACTTTTGTTCCCCAACATGTATCTAATGATAATAAACAGTAATAATTTTAGATGTTAAAGAGGGGTCGCCAAATAACAGTGTTTTAAGGCAATGGTTTAAAAAATGAGATCATTAGAAGAAATGGCGGAGGGGGGGGGGATTTTTAAATATTTTTAACCTTAACAAAATTAATTTTTTGAATTATTTAAGGTCTGTGAAACCAGAGATGGGAACTTTAGAATGGTGGATATCAGGACTAATGCATAATCTTCTGTTTTTTGCTAATCTAGAGACTAACATAAGCTCGAGATTAGATATTTAGATCATCAAATTGGATTCTAGGTACGCCAGATTGGTTCGTTTTCTTGACTGAAAGGGCATTCACTAAATTTTTCACCCATTTATTTATTAATTCATTAGTTAAAATTGGATAAAAACGAATCTAAAACGAATTACAAATACTTTATTTGTTAGAAATTGCGGATTTCTCTCATGTCATTGGTCAATACAATTTACGAACTATATTCCTGCACTCTCATCGGAGAAAATAATGTACGGATATCCAATTAGAGAGAAAAAGAGTGGATTAAGGACTAAAATTAAAAGTTTCCACAGTGGATATCAGGATTAAGTACTTGGGATTAAGGTTATCCATTCTTTCCCAGCTCTTGTTTCAAATATATAGTTTGAGGCAAGTGTTTACTTCATTTGTTAAGCAGTTGTCCTGAGTTCAGTGTTATGATTTTTAATTTTCTTGTTTTTACCAAAAACCCGTTAGCTTAGTTACAAGAAAAGTTAACCTTTTCAAAAACAAATCCAATGGGCGAAAATTTTAGGATATTGTAACAATATGGATATTAAGAGTATTGATATGAAAAAACAGTTCTAAAATCTAAGTATCCATTAAATTTAATTTTAAGATAGTTTTAAAGTTTTAAAAAAACCTTTTATTAGTTAAAAGTCGAGATTCGTATTTTAAGAGCAAAAAATGTATGTAAACAGGCTTTTGTTGATGTTCCGAGCTGGGAACTTTTGAATGGTGGATATCGGGATTAATGCTTAATCCACTCTCTTTCTTAATCTCCAGATTAAATAATGCTTGTTCTCCTCTTGTTATTAATCTCCAGATTAATTAACCGATCTGAATTAAGGATATCCCATTCTAAAGTTTTCAGCACCGGATTCTTAGCACTGTAAACTATGAAATCAAAATTCAAAATTTCATTTCAACTTGAATAACTGAACATTAAAAGTTAATACTAACCTTCCAAGATTCCACTTCAGGCACTTGTTGCAGAACGCTTTAGGACAAAAATCACAAAGATATATTTGGCCTCCTACACCAGATCATATTTAATTCAACTTTTTTCGGTTTCTTAACAAAAATATGAGGAGATAATCGAATATATTTTCATAATATTTTTCCCTTACCAAGTCGATATTTCAGGAACAATTGTTAACCAGTATAGTCTAGTGAAATCCAATAAACTACGAAATAATGGGACTGTATGCGTAATTTAAAGGGACCCTATATGCAAAAATGACAATACCCGATTCACAACGTTACCCTTGAAACCCTTATCTGAACAAGAATGTGGAAGATACTGTCGTTTTTCTATAAGGCATTAATTCTGATAATTACTACATGTTTTCCTCCAGTAGAAATAAAGAGAAGCCACTATTGGAAATAATCTGAATTCAAAATTAACATTTATATCTAATTCATACTTGATCAGACATAACTAGAAATAAATGTAGGGTTAAACTAGAAATAACTCCACGTCTCTTTTAATGAAAAAAAAAACTTTAATAAGATAAGTTTTTTCTTCCAGGATATTCAAATAATTAATTTAAATATAATCAATTTTCTTGAAGGATAATCAATTAATTTTTGCATTTGAATATAAGTTTTCCCCCGGATAATTAAGTAATTAATATAAATATCATATCATATCATATCATCAAGGATAATAATATAAATAATTTGAATTTCTTCAAGGCTGATTTATAACATAATTTTTTCTTTCATAATAATTAACTAATTAATTTGAATATGATCAAGTTTTTTCTTGAAGGATACTTAAATAATTTTTTAATTTGATTACGGAAAAGTTTTTTTCCAGGAAAATTTAATAATTAATTAGGATATGATAAAGCTTTTCTTCCAGTATAATTAAATAAATAATTTGAATATGATAAAGTTCCTTGACTACACCATCGACAGAACTCGTCATTTCCCTCTGGATCCCGTTCCCAGCCTCCTTGACCATATCCTTTCCGACATTTGTTGCACATAATCACACCTAGACAAAAGTCAATCAATCAATCAATCAATCAATCAATCAAAATTTTCAAAAAATATCTGTCGAGGAATTAGAAACAATGTACAATGTACAATGTACAATGTACAATGTACAATGTACAATGTACAATGTACAATGTACAATGTACAATGTACAATGTACAATGTTACAGATTAACCCCAAAACATTGGCGTTTTTAAATTAGGGGAAAGAAGTTTTACAATAAGATTATTGAAAAATTCTATAATAAAGATAAATAAAGATAGCAGCGGATGCCGAAAATCAGTCCCTTTTCAAAAATAATTTCTTCCCGATTAGTGTAAAATATTTACATGCAATAAGAATCAACATGCCGATTTATGTGCACAACCCTTTATATTTGAAAAAAGTTATATGCTTGGGGTGGGTTAAATACTATGTCAGATCAAAAACAAAAGAAATATTCATGTCTTCCTTTTGAAAAAAAGTTTATCATCTTTCGAAATGACTTACAGATTTTTGCTACAGTACTTAAAGAATGAATACAAAATTTTCAGAATTAAAAAGAAAAGAAGTGACGGAATCTTTTACTTATTGATCAGAAAAGTATACCGATGAGAATACGCGTGTTGGCACAATATTAAGAAAGGTTTACTTGTAGTTTTTAAATCTTTGATTTGTGTAGGGGTTAAACTTATATGATAACACATTGCTCACCTAGCTCTGGATGTCTCTGAATCTGTCCTTGTGCCTTGAAATTCAAGCATTCGTTGCAGACAGTGCACTTGAGGGTTTTAGCCTCAAGCTGCTGAGGAACTGGCGCCATCTTTACAATCAAGGCCAACTCTTCCTTGACCACCTTGGACTTAAACCAACGCTCGTCTGCGGCCACCTGCCCCGTCGGGTCCGTGGCAACCGACATCTTACGATTTGGTGATGCCGACATCGCATCGTCATTGACTGTAATGAGGAAATCTTTGCCCTTGCCGCCGATAACTCCGCGGCAATCTTGGGACCCGCACTTGCACTCCTGGCCCTGGTCTGTGTTGAACAAGGAGAAATTGTAGTCGTACGTGATCTCCTCCCCTGGCAGGATGTCGCGCTTAGCGAACACCGCCATCCTCCACAACCCGTTCACGTTCCACTTTTCCATCTCACAATTCGGATCACAAGAATGGTTCACAAATCTACAAATATTTATAAATTATAATTTTTTAAGAGACTGTAAGCGTAATATCGAGTGGTCTTCCATGGCAAAGATGGCAATGCCCGAATTTAAACGGTACCCTTAAAAGCGTTGTTTGATTAAGTATGAACTGGGTATCGATGTTTATAATTAGAACAAAAAAGGATAATTTTTAACTTGCGCAATTCGCCTTACTGCGGCAGGAAAAGATAAAGAAAACATAAGAATTAAACATTTTTAACATTGAAAACAAAAATTTCTTCCATATTGTTGATCAGATTAAAATTTAAACATTAAAATAGTAAAGGATAAAATGTGAAGAATCTGAAAAGGCTAGCACTGAAAGTAAATATGATCACAATTTTTTTAAAGGGAAGCAATTTTTCAAAGTCTGTCAAACTCCTCTTTTGAAAGAAATTTGTCAGAATACAGAAAAGTACATATTATTAGCCGATTTTAATTTTTTTTACGATTAATAAAAGTTTGAAGACGAAGAACTTTGGACACCCAAAATTAATTTCAGGGCTCATTTAGATTTTTTCGTGTTTCTTCAAGTTATTTTTTTTTGAGAAACAATCTATCAATTAATTAGTAATCCATAGAAGAATTTACCAAGATTATTTAATCAATATCTCTTTCATACCCCATTTCTGTGTTGAGAGCAAAAAATAAAATAATTATGTTCTTGATGATAATTTGCTTTGAGAATTGGAACTCATATTAACCCTAGTGCATCAAGGAGATTTCCAAATTATCTCCAATACATGAAAAAAGGAAGTAAAAAAGTATACACCCCAGACAGTGCAAACATAAAAACAAATATATTTGTACCTGCACTCCGACCCTGCTCTGTGCGCGTCAATGAACGTCTTGCTGTCCATCCCGAGACAGTAATGATGTGTATCCCCCTTGTATCTCATCAACATCCTCTTCTCAAACTCCTGGCTAGTACACAGCTCCCCTGTGTACTCCAGAATTAAGGAACCTGCAGATAATGCTTGACGTGCGCGTACACCCCAACCCTTCTTTTGCGTCATAAACCTTTCTAGCCCGGGTGCATACTGACGGCGTTGTATTTTCTGATTACTACAACGCTCCTTAAATGTGCAAAGTTCTTTATCACACTCCGTGAACGTTGATCTATTGATACATCCCTCACCACACGCCATTTCACCCTCGGGGGGCTCCTTGCACACGCAAACCTCTGGCTCATAATCCTTCAACAAATCTGCTTTCTTGATATCGGCATTGTATAGATTCTCACTTAACTGTTTATATTTCCATGTTATAGGCTGAGCCGGTTTTGAAATCTGTTTCAGAACTGGTTTGCCGGCCGGTGGCCGGCTGGGAATCTTTTTCACGGTTAGGTTGGAGTTGTTGAGGATTCCCATGGCTTGCGCGGTTAAATTAGATTTCATGTTCGTCAATCCCGGATTCTTGTTGGGTTTTGATCGTTTCGGCGGGGGGCGGGTAGCACCGGAGTGGCCTCGTTTACCATTCGTAGTTGGAGGCGGTTCGTCGATCAAAACAATGTCGTCTTCTGTCAGGTTTTCAAGAGGTTCATCCCCGACGTCACAGGAGACGTCAAGAAACTGACTGATATCCATCACGGTATATTTGAATTACACTATCGTTTCAATTTTAGATTTTTAAACTGAAAAAAAGTTTCATATACAAATTTGAAATTAAATAAATTAAATAACAATTATTTGTATCAAGTTTAGTCACAAACCTGTAGAAAACCCAAGTTCTCGATAGCTTTCTTGGATAAATTTGCATCAATGTTGACGCCACGACTCCATCTTTGTTGTGTGGAAATGAGCTGCGCAGAACTTGAATCCGTGTCTTCTGCGCAGGATTGGGAGCGCAATGATCGTTATTTAGTGAACTGCGCAGGTGTCAGCGGTCTATTGCTATTTTTTTATATATTAATAAATCACGCAACCTCTTAACTCTACTTTACTCTTGGCAGGTTGTTAAGTTTTTAAACCATGAGAAACAGGGTTCTGGTTACCCACGTCCCACACAGAATGAGACTACAAATGGCGACTGTACGGAACTTGTAATGTCTGTTTCCTAATATTTATGATTCCTTGCCACTAAAAACTTTTTTCTTTCATTGACAATCAATAAAAAGGCCATTTTAAGGAATATGTTAAAGGCAGAAGACTTAATTATTATCCATATTTTAGAGTTTTGAGTCGTCTTTGCAATATCATCCTTTGTGGGTAACCCTGTAACTGTAATTTTAACTATATAGTTAAAATATACAGAGTGTGAAAAAATATTGGAATTTGAAGAAGACTTAAAAATCGTCTTCGATGCATGTAAGTTGCTAACTCATGTAATTGTTAACAAGCTCCGCCCCCCCATAATTCCACTTACAAAGGGCCCCCCCCTTTAAATGCCCCCTGTAAAGGAGTAATACGATTCATCAATCGTAGAAAAGCTAACTTTTTTCAAATTGTCTTTTAATTCCCATGTTTAATTATGACTTTTGTACGAACAAAAATTAACACGCATATTTCAATATTCATAAATAATACTGGTTTTTAATTACTCATTTACTAGCCGGTCCTATAACACTTACCTAAAATTAATAATAGTAATTAGTTTTATAATTTTACGTGGAAATGACCGAGTTAAAAGTATTTATAGCAAACATTATTTATATTATTATTACAGGGTGTCCCACGAAACATGATTCAGTCGATGAATAGTTTTGAATGCCTTCTTCCATATACTGTATTATATATTTAAAACTTTTTGCAGTTTATCTATATTAAAAAACTTTACTCAAATATAGTTTACTATAATAAGGATGTCATAAAATAATTCTTATTATTCTCTTTGCTAATAAACAACTTGAAATATTATGGAAGAAGACATTTTAAACTATTCACCAACTGTCATGTTTCGTTAAATAAAAAGTAACTGAAATAAAATTAACTGTCAAGTACGAAAGATGGCAACGTAGAATTTGTACACTCTCAATACAGCTGAATTCTGACGTCACGGTAAACAATGTTGTATTCCTCGTTATATTTTACACTTGTGACGTCATGTATAATTGGTCCATTTCTCTGTTGCCACCTATTGTACTTGATAATCTATTTGACTGAAATAAAAAAATAAGTTTGTTTTCTTTTTGTTGTATTCATTAAAAACTTGTAAATGCCTGCAATTGTGAAAACTTTTTTATCTGGCAAAATGTTCAGTTTGAAACAAATGGTTGTACAGGATTTGAAGAATAGCTAGAGTTTGAATCGAGTTTTCAGTTCCTTTATATTTTACAACTCAATGCGTAATATTAACACAGAACATGTTTATTAATAGACCACAACAATTTTCAAATTGAATTAAGACGTTTTAGGAAGATGAAAAAGTGAATTTAATCTTAGAAGATTGCAATAAACAGCAGGAACACTCCTGGACATCATTATTGCCACCTCCTTTTAAAGATAGTATGCGTCGAATAGACAAATAACCGGAGATTTACAAACCCAAAAATAGAAATGAGATTTTACATATTTAAATGCACTAAAAGCGTATAAACATTGTAATAAATTAACATTTCACAGCTTTCTAACATTTTAAAGGAACTGTAAATGTAATGTCAAGTCAACCTCCAGTGGCACAATTTACTTTTTAATCTAGAGAACTCACTCCTAAATTTTTTTTCTTACAGAAAAACCAATAATATCTACTTGATCCTTGTTCAGCTAAACTTTTAAGGTACCGTTGTGAATCAGATATGCCACTATATGTACATTCTTTATCTGTAAAATTTCGCCTTAGCTGATATGTCAACTTCTTTTGAATGAAATGTTGTTTACCATGACGTCATATTGTTTATTTACTATTCTATTATTGAATGTAATCATTATATCTCTGATGGTAACAATTGTGGTTTATGAATACCGTATCTTATTTATATTCAATATTAAATAATGAAATGTAGCAAGACATCCCTCCCCCCCCCATATATGTATTTATGAATGAATGAATGCATTTAAGAGTGCTAAAATCCGAGTAGCAAAATATTTACAAAAACTTGGGATAAGGTGGACAGAATAGGATAAGGGTGGACAGGGTAGGATAAGGGTGGACAGGGTAGGATAAGGGTGGACAGGGTAGGATAAGGGCGGACAGGGTAGGATAAGGGTGGACAGGGTATGATAAGGATCAAAAGGGTTGGATAAGAATGTACAAGATAGGATAAGGGTGGACTCGGTAGGATAAGGGTGGACAGGGTAGGATAAGGGTGGACAGGGTAGGATAAGGGCGGACAGGGTAGGATAAGGGTGTACAGGGTAGGATAAGGATGGACAGGGGTAGGATAAGGGTGGACAGGGGTAGGATAAGGATGAAAAGGGTAGGATAAGAATGTTCAGGATAGGATAAGGGTGGAAAGGGTAGGATAAGGGTAGACAGGGTAGGATAAGGGTGGACAGGGTAGGATAAGGTTGGACAGGGGTAGGATAAGGGTGGACAGGGGTAGGATAAGGGTGGACAGGGGTAGGATAAGGGTGGACAGAGTAGGATTAGTGTGGACAAGGCAGGATACGATTGGACAGGGCTTTGAGTGTTAAGACTTCTTGGCTGTGGTCAAGAAACTTCTTTACAAGACAATACAGTTTTATTGCCACCATAAAACCAGGATTAAATCCTATACAGACATTTATATCTCAGTTTTTAAAGGGATGTTCTAGAAAAAGTATAGTTGTATATTTGAACAGGGGTTTTCTGTTTTGGTTTCATCTACAGTTGTATGGTTTTATAACAACATTTTATAAGCATGATTTTATATATACAAGTGCAGGTGCAAAATATGCTTTGCACATTTTCAACCATGAAATAGATAAAAAAGTTTACATAACTAGGCTTCGCGCCCGTCTTCTATTTAAATTGTGAACATGTTCTTTTTGTTTACATTTTAAAACAAAGAAGAAACAAATTTTGCGGATTTAAAAAAAAAATTCGCGGATTTTCAAGAATTTAATTTTTACAAAATTAAAAACCTTTAAAACACATTTTTTAAATTTTGATCATTCATAAACCTTCACGGGGTCACGTGAGGTCCCACAAAAAATTTGGACCCGATCGGTTCAGCCGTTCTGGCGTTTATTGGATACAAACAAACAAACAGACAAGCTAAATGTATATAGATGTACACTGTAAATTGTAAAATGTGCAGTCCAATGTACACATCAAGGTTGTAAAATAAGGTTAGTTAAACTCGATGCGCTCCAATGTACGGAAAATGTCGTCTCTGAAGATAGATAAATACTCAATATGACGTCACTGATTATAGAGGAGAGATTGACATAATATTTTATATCGTATATGTATACATCGTCAGTTGCTGGCTTTTGTAATGATATATGATTTCATATTTCTATAAAAAGGCTTTATTCCAAATAACCCAAATATGGTTATATAGATTCATCTAACGTGGGACTTAAAGGTCCAGAGTTCGATGTGACAGTTTTTTTATGACCTAAACAACAACTGGACAAATTCGAAAATCTTACAAAAATTTTGCAAAAAGCTTAAAAAAATCTTTTAAAAATCTTTCAAAACTTACAGCTTGCAGAAAGTAACAAGAACCATGTTTTTACAATAGTCGTGCTTTTCGAGACGCACTGCAATGTCTTCATAAAGTGGACAAATTGATTTTATTATTTTATCACACTTAAAATGATCTTTTATCACTTCAATCTAAAGATTTAGTTTTTATTGAGTATTATTAAAGTTTAGATCATAAATGATCGCAACTTGCAACATGGTAAATTTAATGATTTTTTATTTGAACAAATAAAAAAATCTACGCAAAAATTTTCAGTTTTAAAACTTACACCCCCCCCCATTTCCAACTTTTACGGGATAAAACAAACGGAATTGTACTTTAGTACTGTATAGTGTACATACCCAGAAAATGGTTATAAAAAAAATAAAACGTTAATTTTTTTATTGCTGTTAAGCGATTAACGAAATATTAAGAGTGCATTCCAAACATCGCGATTGTCAAACAATTGCATACAATGTACTTATAGCTTTATGGATGTACATTGTACATACTTTTATTCATAACTAAGTGCGGGTGCGTACTTAGGAATGAAGTCATTTAAAATATACTTTTTAGAATCCTGGCTTTGTGGCCATATTTTATTATTGTGTTCTTTTGTTCCAATTTTTCAAGCTGTGCCCAGAATTTAGCCCGAGCAGGTTCGGCATAATTACTCGGTTGTATTTTATACAATAAAATCATTATTTTACTCCGGGTTCACGTTGTAAGGGACTGTCGGCGTAATTTTAGAATACCCATTATTTTATAAGTTGTATGTCGGATGTACAACTGTACACTTTAAACCTTTGTCTGATCAAAGATACTGAGATATCTATATTTTTGCACCTCAAAACTAGAGGATCACTTGAAATTACAGTGACTTTCCCTTTAAAACTAAGTTTAAGAATTCGGGCCACAATGAGTAATTTATGGAAAACATTAAATTTGAGTGACTCGAGTTACAACAAATTAAATGGCTTCATACAGTGCAGTTATTCACCATCTGTGAAACAACAAATAAAAAAAAAATTTAAAATTACATTGTCTACTTTTCAGTCCTCAACCTAAGTCATTCTCTTAATGGATAATCCCTTTTTTGTTATATCGAACATTTCAGTATGAAAAATGGATTTTTTCAGGCTAAATTTTTTCTTGTTTGGAATCAAGGCAAAAAATCTTTCCTGGTGTTATATGAGTTTCGGTTATCTGTTTCAACGTTTATTGCATACCAAAAAAAACCATACGAGATTTTGAACAAAATATATAATAGTTTTAATCATTTTTAATCATTTTTAATCACAGAAATGTAACCTACGCTCAATAAGGACAAAGTTTAATGACTAAAGTTTATTAAACTACTTGGTAAAACTATGAACTATATATATTTTGACAACGTGAAAAATATCTGGGGAGTTGGAATCCTCATCTCACCGCCGTGTGAAGTTCTCTTGAAAACTCGGGAATTGTCTTCCGCCACAGTGTAACTTTAAAAACTTCAAAGCAATGCCCAAGAATTGACAAAATACATTGAGAAAAAGAACACTGTAGAATAGAAGAACGGCTTTAAAGCAAAAATCAAGTGTATTTCAAGTTTTATAAAGCATAAAGCTTTATGTGTAACTTACTAAATCAATTATTAAGTGAAATTGGTCTGTTTACACTGCACAATTGCTGTGTCGTATGTTCATTGGAATTTTTAAAGTCGTAATATGAGTCTGAAAGTCGTCTTGCTATTCCAGGGTTT